CACAATGCAATAAAACTAGAACTCAACAACAAAAGTAAAGACAAAAAACATGCAAACAGCTGGAAACTGAATAACTCATTACTTAATGAACAATGGTCATTGATGAAATAAAAGAGGAAATTAAAAAGTTCCTGGAAGTCAATGAAAATGAAAACACAACCTACCGGAACCTATGGGACACAGCAAAGGCAGTCCTGAGAGGAAAGTTTATAGCCATGAGTGCATATATTAAAAAGACTGAAAGATCCCAAATCAATGACCTAATGATACATCTCAAACTCCTAGAAAAACAAGAACAAGCAAATCCCAAAACAAATAGAAGGAGAGAAATAATAAAAATAAGAGCTGAAATCAACAAATAGAAACCAAAAAAACCATACAAAGAATTAATGAAACAAAAAGTTGGTTCTTTGAAAAAATAAACAAGATCGACAGACCCTGGCAAACCTGACTAAAATGAGGAGAGAAAAAACCCAAATTAGTAGAATCAGGAATGCAAAAGGGGAGATAACAACAAACACCATGGAAGTCCAGGAAATCATCAGAGACTACTTCGAGAACCTATATTCAAATAAATTTGAAAATCTTAAAGAAATGGACAGATTTCTAGATACATATGATCATCCAAAACTGAACCAAGAGGAAATTAATCACCTGAATAGATCTATAACACAAAATGAAATTGAAGCAGCAATCAAGAGTCTCCCCAAAAAGAAAAGTCCAGGACCTGATGGATTCTCTGCTGAATTCTATCAGACCTTTAAAGAAGAACTGATACCAACCCTCCTTAAACTGTTCCATGAAATAGAAAGGGAAGGAAAACTGCCTAACACATTTTATGAAGCCAGTATTACACTTATCCCAAAACCAGGTAAAGACACCTCCAAAAAGGAGAACTATAGGCTAATCTCCTTAATGAACACTGATGCAAAAATCCTCAATAAAATAATGGCAAACCAAATTCAACAACACATCAAAAAGATTATTCATCATGACCAAGTAGGCTTCATCCTAGGAATGCAGGGGGGTTCAACATACGAAAATCAATAAATGTAATAAACCACATTAACAGAAGCAAAGACAAAAACCACTTGATCATCTCAATAGATGCAGAAAAAGCCTTTGATAAGATCCAACACCATTTCATGATAAAAGCTCTAAGAAAACTAGGAATAGAAGGAAAGTACCTCAACATTATAAAAGCTATATATGACAAACCTACAGCCAGCATTACACTTAACGGAGAAAAACTGAAACCATTACCTCTAAAATCAGGAAAGAGACAAGGATGCCCACTATCTCTACTCCTATTCAACCTAGTAATGGAATTCCTAGCCAGAGCAATTAAGCAAGAAGAAGGAATAAAAGGAATACAAATAGGTAAAGAAACTGTCAAAATATCCCTATTTGCAGATGATATGATCCTATACCTTAAAGACCCAAAAAACTCTACTCAAAGCTCCTAGACACCATCAATAGCTATAGCAAGGTAGCAGGATATAAAATCAACATAGAAAAATCATTAGCATTTCTATACACTAATAATGAACAAACTGAGAAAGAATATATGAAAACAATTCCATTTACAATAGCCTCAAAAAAAATCAAATACCTAGGTATAAACCTAACAAAGAATGTGAACGACCTCTACAAGGAAAACTATAAACTTCTGAAGAAAGAGATTGAGGAAGACTATAGAAAGTGGAGAGATCTCCCATGCTCATGGATTGGTAGAATCAACATAGTAAAAATGTCTATACTCCCAAAAGTAATCTACATGTTTAATGCAATTCCCATCAAAATTCCAATGACATTCATTAAAGAGATTGAAAAATCTACTTAAATTTATATGGAAACACAAGAGGCCACGAATAGCCAAGGCAATACTCAGTCAAAGAACAATGCTGGAGGTATCACAATACCTGACTTCAAACTATATTACAAAGCATAACAATAAAAACAGCATGGTACTGGCACAAAAACAGACATGAAGACCAGTGGAACAGAATAGAGGACCCAGATATGAAGCCACACAACTATAACCAACTTGTCTTTGACAAAGGGCTAAAAATATACGATGGAGAAAAGACAGCCTCTTCAACAAAAACTGCTGGGAAAACTGGTTAGCAGTCTGCAAAAAACTGAAACTAGATCCATGTATATCATCCTATACCAATATTAACTCAAAATGGATCAAGGATCTTAAAATCAGACCCAAACTCTGAAGTTGGTACAGGAAAGAGTAGGAAATACTCTGGAATTAATAGGTATAGGAAAGAACTTTCTCAATGGAACCCCAGCAGCTCAGCAACTAAGAGATAGCTTCTGCTCAACAAAAGAAATGGTCTCTAAACTGAAGAGAACACCCACAGAGTGGGAGAAAATATTTGCCAGCTACACATCAGACAAAGGACTGATAACCAGAATATATAGGGAACAAAAAACTAAATTCTCCCAAAATTAATGCACCAATAAAGAAATGGGCAAGTGAACTAAACAGAACTTTCTCAAAAGCAGAAATTCAAATGACCAAAAAACACACGAAAAAATGTTCACCATCTCTAGCAATAAAGGAAATGCAAATTAAAACCACACTAAGATTCCACCTCACCCGTTAGAATAGCCATCATTACCAACACCACAACAACAGGTGTTGGCAGGATGCGGGGAAAAAGGAACCCTCTTACACTGTTGGTGGGAATGTAAACTAGTACAACCACTCTGGAAAAAAATTTGGAGGCTACTTAAAAAGCTAACATTGATCTACCATTTGATCCAGCAATACCACTCTTGGGGATATACCCAAAAGACTGTGACACAGGTTACTCCAGAGGCACCTGCACACCCATGTTTATTGCAGCACTATTCACAATAGCCAAGTTATGGAAACAGCCAAGATGCCCACACTGACGAATGGATTAAGAAAATGTGGTATCTATACACAATGGAATTTTATGCAGCCATGAAGAAGAACGAAATGTTATCATTCGCTGGTAAATGGATGGAATTGGAGAACATCATTCTGAGTGAGGTTAGCCTGGCCCAAAAGACCAAAAATCGTATGTTCTCCCTCATATGTGGACATTAGATCAAGGGCAAACACAACAAGGGGATTGGACTTTGATCACATGATAAAAGCGAGAGCACACAAGGGGGTGAGGATAGGTAAGACACCTAAAAAATTAGCTAGCATTTGTTGCCTTCAACACAGAGAAACTAAAGCAGATACTTTAAAGCAACTGAGGCCAATAGGAGAAGGGGACCAGGAACTAGAGAAAAGGTTAGATCAAGAAGAATTAACCTAGAAGGTAACACACATGCACAGGAAATCAATGTGAGTCAACTCCCTGTATAGCTATCCTTATTTCAACTAGCAAAAACCCTTGTTCCTTCCTATTATTGCTTATACTCTCTCTTCAACAAAATTAGAGATAAGGGCAACATAGTTTCTGCTGGGTATCAAGGGGTAGGGGGGAAGAGGAAGGGGGCGGGGGGGTGGTAAGACGGGATGGGGGCAGGGGGGAGAAATGACCCAAACATTGTATGCACATATGAATAAAATAAAAATTTTTAAAAAGTGAGGTACAATTCACACACAACAAGCTTACTTCTCCTGATTGAATGACTCAGTACCACCACTAATTCCAGCATCACCCCCCCCAAAAAAAATCCCATGCCTATTAGCAGACACCTCCCCTTTCTTCTGTCCCCTTAGCTCCTGGAAACTACTAATCCACTTTGTCCTTATGAATTTGTCAATTTTGGACATTTTATATATATGGACTCATACAGGTGGTCTTTTGCGACTGTTTCTTTCATTTAGTATTTTTAGTGTTCATATATGTTGTAGCAAGTATCAGTACTTCATTCTTTTGTCAGCTGAATAAAATCCCCTTGTATGGATATACCATATTTTATTTATCAAATTTTCGCAGTTGATGGAACTTTGTTTTTTCCACTTTTCAACTGTTATGAATAATGCTATGACATTTGTGTTTAGGTTTTCCTTTGAACACTTTTTAAATCTCTTGGAGTAGACATATGAAAATTCTGTGTTTAACTCTGAGAAACTGCCAAACTGTGGTCCACAGTACCTGAACCAGTTTGTACATTCCCTCTAGCAGCAGATAAGGGTTCCAGATTCTCCACATCAGTCCAGCACTCATTTTGATTATTGCCATCCTCGTGTGAAAGTGTGTCATTGTATATGAAATGGCCTGCATTTCCTTAATGACTAATGAACTTGAGCATCTTTCCTGTGCTTTTTGGCCATTTATGTATCTCCTTTGAAGATAAGCCTATCAATTTATTTGCTCATTATAAAAATTCAGCCATTTGTTTGTCTTACACTGTTGAGTTGCAAGTGCTCTTCATATATTCCAAACACAAGACCTTTTTCAGGTATATGATTTGCAAATATTTGCTCTTATTTTCTGGGCTGCTTCTCATTATTCTTTTTGTGTGTGATGCCTAGGATTGAGTCCAGGGCCTCGAATGTTAGGCAAGTACTCTGCCACTGAGCTACATCGCTAGCCCTCAATTTCTTGATAATTGGTATCTTTTAATTACAAACTTTTTAGTTTTGATGAGCCCCAATTATTTTTTTTTCCTTTGGCTGCACAGACTCTTTGTTACAGTTATATTCTGAGAAGAAAAGGGTGGTGGTGAGGGAAGAGATAACAGATAGGGACAAATGAAAAAATGACAACTTTACAGTTCACACTAGTAATAAAATTATTTATAAAATTGCCTTTCATTTGACAGTATAATTTCTGTTAGTGGATACAAGTCAAATATGAATCACATTCAAGTCATCAACTATTCTATTTAGCTGGCTGGATCTAAGGGATAGAGTAAGGGAGAATATCATCCTAGAGGAAACCAGTTAGTATTTATTTCATTTAAAATATGATTTATAAGTTGTATAACTGTATCTATCAAATCCTTAATTGCACATACCAAATCAGCTTCATATAAAAGCAACACTCCGTGAAATGATTTCTGAGCTGTGAAAATCTGTCTTTCAGATCTACATGGTAGAGCAGAGAGATTGAATAGGTCACTATGAGGGAACAGCTATCCCATTTTCTCCAGAAGTTTGTATTTGATTCATACACGTACATTCCAAGGAATGCAGGATCCAGGCTCATCTCTTGGAATCTAGAATAAAAGAACGAATTTGGATGTTCACAACTTGAAAAATGTTTGTGTCTTAGGTGAAAAACAGAGCATTAAGTAAGCTAAAGAATACTGGAGGGCAACTGGTAGGATGAGAGGTCAGGGAACAGCAGCATGTGAAGGGTGGGGGGACCCAGGAGGGGACTGAGCAAGAGGAGCCAAGAGCTATCCTCTCAGATAGTGATGCAAAGTGGGGACAGTGTCTGTTTCTCCAGTGTGGAGGAGGCGATTTGTAGGGGCAAAGCTGGCAAGAGAGGAGTGGAGGAGTGACATTTTCCCACAACATAGGGAAAATCTTTCTTCTAGTTAGAGAGATAACTGTGAATGCATTTCCTTCCTTCCACAATTAAAGGTCCTGCCACTGAATGTAACCAACAATTGCTGAGATTGTTTCTCAATGGGGATGCTGTTGCAGGAGGGGCTCCTGCGATCATCCTTCCTAGAGCTTGTTTGGGGTAAGAGTGGAAAGACTGTCGGAGAGGTCTGTATTCTTGGCTTGGGTATCCTAGATTTTGGGCACAGTTCCTGCACTCCTATTTCTCACCCAGATGTCATGGGGAGTGGGTAACATAGACTAAGGGGAACGAGACTTCTTTTTTTCAAGTGGTAATAAAGACCTGAGTCCACAGTAAGCAAGCACAGCCAGGCCAATGAAAAGACAAAACCCCCAAGCACAGGTTCAAGGGCACCTTGACTTCTCCTGCCCATATGCCCTCAGGAATTCCTGTTATCACCTTTCCTTGCATGGAAAACCACATGGTAGGCTGGTAGGCTAAAGAAACTTTTGGGCAGGGCTCCAAAGTTCAAAGTTTTCTAATTTTATCCTGCTGGGCAGAGCATACCATCTTCGTGAACTTGTCTTCACAGGCCATTCTAATCTTCTCTGGAGTCAGCGGACTATCGAGTGGCAACGGTTCAGACAGACCTCTCTCCTGTCGCGCTGCACACACCGCGTCACAGATGGCAAAAAACACCGAGCACCCCAGGAACACTCCAGACTCTCCCAGACCCTTGAAGGAAATAAGCCAAGTAGATTATGACACACATACTCTCTCTTCCTTGCTGTACATATATGCCTATATGTATATGTGCATATATATAGAATACACAGGTTTTATATATTTGTGTATATATAACATATACTATAAATCTAAATTCTTTATTAAAAAGTAATCTTTGATCCAATATTCCCATTCTTGGAATTCTAGCCCAAGTACAGAAAATAAATACAGGCATGAAGACAATTATTGCAAGATGAAACATCAGATATGACCAAATGGTAAAAGAAGGTCATGTTAGGCTCTGAGACTTGGAATATTTAAAACACTTTTTATTATATTGCTAAATTACCTTATAATTAAGATGTTTAATAAGTGTTTTTCTTCTGCAATCCTGGTAAATATACTGAACAACCAAGAGACAAATGTAGCCCTCTCTCCCCCACAGATACCATATAAACATGCATTTATTCACAGAGGCATAGCTTACCTTAGATGAATACAGGGTATTTGAGTTTTCAGATGGAGGCAGAAAAGAAATGTGCATCTCTGTGGGGATGTCACAGATGGCAGGGATTTTATATTGGTTTGGACCACGAGTGTACAGAACACCCTGAGGAGAATAATTCAGTTCTTCTATTGTGTAGAGTCCCATGCCTTGAATAAATGCACCTTCAATCTGAAGCAAAAATAAAAAAGAATTTATACATAGGAGAAGATGCAGTCAATAGTCATCAGAAGTTGAAGTTCATGCTATTTTTCTGAATTTTAAAATTATAGTTTAAGAGGGTTTTCAGGGTATTTTGGAGTGTGTCACCAACAGGCTTTCTAAAAGCATTTCTATACATCTCATTCAGTGCTAAGTTCAAAGTTAAATGATTCCAATTCTAATCTTGGTTTAATCATTAAAATTAAAGCTCTAGAAGAGTCCTCACAGAGCCTGTTGTTCAAACACCCTCATTTTTAATGCCAATCAGATGGATGAAACCCTCACTGACTGATTTGTTGCAGACCCCACACACTAGCAGAAGGCTCTCAGCTAGAGACTCTCGTTTTGCCCCACATCCTCGCTCACAAGCTGCCTGCCCTCACCTCTCTGGACTCTGTTTCTTCTCCTGCAACATGAAGGGTTTGAGCTGAGTTTCGTTTACAGATTTAGGATGCTCAAGTTCTTAGACGTGGGCACACGGCCAAAAGTGCACTTCCAAATGTTTTTCTGATTTCAGGGTCTCTTCATAGTTTATTTCCTTCTCATGACCACATCTTCTCCATCTCTTACTTCTGCCAATGATGTCAGATGAATCCTTCTAAAATTCTAGGCCACTTCCCAGGTTATGTCACCTCCACCCACTAAGCTAAGTACCTGTCTTTGGAGTGTTTCTACCAACCAGGCCCTCTTCCATCCTCTAACCCCAGGCTCATGGCCAGCTCCTCCAACACAGGCACCACTGTCCTTGGCCCTGGTCTCATACCAACTATGAACAGAGCAGATGCTTCCTCTGCTCTTCTTCTACCTGGAACATCTTTTCTCATTTGTTTCTTGACAACCTGGTCCACACTCACTTTCTTCCTGATGCTTCGTTTGACTTCACCCTGCAGATTTTTCCCACTCTCTAGCACACCATGCTGTGACTAGAGAGATGCTACATTATGCTCTAAATTTGAGGTAGTGAGCTGAATTCCCTCAGGTGGAGGTAGGTAAAGCAAGTGCGTGAAGATTCTGGGTAGGTCCCTTGTCATTGGTGAGTATGTGACTCTTCAAAGATAGAACCAACCGACTTTTGCTTTCTGGATGCAAGTCCAGTGTTGGCAAATTTTCTGTTTTCATGAGAAGCCAGGTATTTATACCTTTTCAATCTTGTTAATTTTTAACATTTGAATAAAAGTATCTGTGGGTAGAAATCAGCTCACAGGCTATCTATCAACAGCTACTGCTATTATTATTTGAGATTTGTTATCCCAAACCAACTTTAAACTCTGGACTTCAGAGCCCATCATCTGTCCAAGGCTTGGCATTCAGCACTAAGTACTGACGTTCCAGAGGCTTGGTGCTCAATGGCCACTTCTTGGCTTGGTCTTGCTTCATTCAAGTTTCCCAATTACAGATTGCATGTTTCTTCAAAAACTTCCTAAAACACCTGCTCTCCTGCTCCCCATTAAACAGTGAGACATTTGGGTTTTGCAGCTGGCTCGAGTAGAAAGATTTTGACTAAAGGGGAGGAGAAGAAGATAATCGGTGAGCTGGATGAAACATTTTCCTGCAGAACCCACAGTAGTTTTGGCCTTTACAAATAGGAAGCAAGGCGAATTAGTAACACATACCTGGCCCATGTCAAGGGCTGGATTTATACTGTTGCCAACATCCACGACAATGTCCGTTCTGATGTTCTAGTAATAAAAACAAAGTTCAATTTTTCTTTCAATAAAAATAACTTAGAAGAAGTTGAGAAACATTTCCTGCTAGGCTGGCACAGGGATAAAGCCTTTTTCTGGGTCATGTTATTTCAGGAGAAAGAAGCAACAAAGATTTTATTATGTGACCGTTTATGTAAAACTTTTTGGCCGTACTGGAGATTGAATTTAGATCCTCATGCTTGCTAGGAAGGCACTCTACTACTTGAGTCACTCCCCAATCCTTTTTGTTTTAGTTATTTTAAAGATAGGGTAACCTAACACTCCCCCCGCCCCGTCAGCCCCTCTGTCCAGAGTCCTCTTATCAACAACTTCAGTGCAGATGGGATCATAGGGGTGCCCAACCACTCCCAGCTATTATGCAAATCCTTCAAGGTTAAACAAATTACTCTTAACCAGCATATCCACTGGGCTTTCTCCCCCTTGGAAATACTAGAAGAGTAAAATATTTACTTGATTTTGATTCAAGCTTGGTGATACAGCAGGTTGAGTTTAATCTCCTACAATAAACATAACAGATGACACAACTAAAGAAAAATATCTATAGCTTTCATAATCCCTGTTGCAAAACTTTGTGGCTACCACACAACCCAACATCCAGAGTCCAACTGGCTCAGTGTTGTCTGATGAAGTTCAGGATGCCTCAACAAAATGGTCTTTGGACTGTCAGCTACTGTTCTAGAGTTTTCATTTTTGGAGTGGAGAAGAGATTAAATATTGCATTAGAATGTCCTCTTTGATAACCTACAAATGAGGAGAAGAGTAAGCCCAGCCAGGTTGTTGATAACACCTTGTTGTCTTCAACAGGTCTGCATCTTCTTTATATGACATGGTACTCTCTGTCACGAGAAACAGGTTCTAGTCACAATTATTAATGGAACTAAGGAAACCCATGAGTTTCTGGGACTTTCATCTAATATTTTTAAAAGAAAATGAGATAATGGTCCAGAATGTTTGACTATAATGAAACTTGAGGTATTCACTTCTCATATTGAAAGACACAATGAAATGTAAAATTCTCTTTGTCACCAGTTAGCAAGACAGCTCTTCCAGGAGACAAGTGGCTTTATTTGAAGGCAAGAAGAGGTGCTCTACAGTCTAATGTTAGTGAAGGTTCTATTTTCTAAGCTGTTGACAAATTGTGGTGTGTCATTGTATTCTGACAAGGCTGGAGAGTGGGTCTGGGCTATGGTAGCCCACCTCCAAGAGGGCCCTCAACGAATCATGATATGGCATTCACAGCTCGTGTATTCCTTTCCCTCGTGTTCTACCAGAGTCCATTTTTGTGACCAATGGGATGCAGAAGAAGGGATAGCACATGGCTCTGAGATTAGGTTATAAAGGCTGTGGTTCTGTCTCACATGCCCTCTCACTTATGCATACTCTGTCTTTTGGACCAGTACCTCTGGGAAAATCCAGCTGTTATGTTCTGAGGACACTGTGGTAGCTTACAGGCTGATCTGTGCAATGAATGGAGTTGCTTGGCCAATATCCAAGGAGAAACTAAAGCCTCTGATCAGCAAGAATGTAATGGAGCTTAGAAGAAGATTCTCCAGTCTCCACTGAGCCTTCAGATGACTCTAGATACCGCCAAAAGCTTGACCACAGCCTCATGAGAAATCCGAGCCTGAATCACTCAGATAAGCCTTTCTAGAAGTCTGGACCTCAGAAATGGTGTGAGCCAATAAAAGTTTATTGGTTTCAGTTGTTAGTTTCGTGAGTAACAATAGATAACAAATATAGATACGTAGGTTCAAAGTGAGGGAAATTTTGGGGGAATTAAGACAATTTTATCAACACAAAGAGAATAGCTGAGAAACAGGCCTCTAGGGAAGGCCTCTGGGAGAAGATAATATGATGGCCTTTTGCTTATGGTTGGTACGCAGTTTGAATTACAGATCTAGCTTTCATGATTAGATCACTTAGCACACCTGTTAAGATTGTTTAAATAAGTTGTAAGAACATATCTTTTTTCTTCTTTTGTTTTTGAGACACGGTCTCACTATGTAGCCCAGGGTGGCCTTGAACTCATGATACTACTGCCTCAGTCTCCCGAGTGCTGGGATTATGGTGGTTCAAACCCCTGCCCAGTATTGAACATACCTTTAAAGTTCATACCAAAGTTATTATCTTGTCCTTAGAGCTTAACAAAGCTAAGGCACATATAAGATATAAGAAAATTTAAATGGTTAAGTTTTCATCAACTTTTTCTTTGAGGGGAAAGGAATCTAGAACTCTCTCTCTCTAGTGGCATAGGATAGCCACTGTAACACAAGAGTTATACTTGCCAGATACTTGATTAGGCAGGTTCAATAAAGGTATATCTAATTTCAAAGATAGGGTTGACTATAGTTTTAAATAAATACATGATAGGGAAATATTAAAATGAAGACATATCTATAATGTAGACACAAAGAATATTTGAAAATATCAAGAACTGGAGTTTGCTTCTAGGTAGGTTTTGAGACAGGATTATCACTAAACTAGTAGCTTGGTCACATGACATTTATGAGGGTTATTGCAGTCCTATTTAATGTATCGATGACCATTTATTGAGAGTGACAAGTAAATAGCTTCTCTTGTTTCTAAAGGCCCAAGAACAAGAAGAGAAACTGAGTCCCTGAAGCTTTCTAAAAAGAAGGACCTAGCTGGGTAAAGATTTCAAAAGCTGGTCATTGCCTGCCCTGGGCTGGCTCTTGGTACTTATCAGTAGATTATGGATGCCCATGAAATCACTGAAGAATGTCGCATGACGTCATTTCTCATAGGTGGTCAGGATTGCTTGGTGTGCCAACATTCTATAAGGAAGTCCTCTTTAAGCCTTCTGTCCTGAGTGATTGCTTTTCTGATTTCATTTAAAAGGGCTGGGAACCTCAGAAACTCAGAGGGGCATCAATTCGTGGCAATTGGTAAGCTTCTATTTTCTCCTAGTAACATAGAAGAGTCACCCTTAGGCCAAATGTATGGTGCTGCCACACACTCAGATTTCTTCCAACAGATGACACGTGTAGATTCTAGGTGCATCATAAGTGCACTTGAAGACCTTTCCAGTGGTACTGACCTTATGACTCCCTGTCAGGCAGTCTATTTCAACCTCCGAACAGGCAGCTCCATAGACAGAGTATTCAAAGGGATGACCTTCGCCTTTTTCCCAGTTCATGTCTGACTCATAACCCCTGAAGGAAACAGAATTTTTGGGGAACATTGTTAAGTGATCAAGTCTTGTAATCACAGACCGTAATGACTGAACAGACCCATAAGAAGCTGTGCAAATCACTTGTATAGTGATGTGCAAACACATAATCCATGCCCAATAAATGTGTCAAATAAATATGTATTTGCTTCTTTCTTATTATCCTTGCATTGTCTATTAAAAATATTCAATTATTCCTCACCAGTGAATCCTTACTCCTGGAAGTTAGCTGTTAACTATAATTATTTATCCAATTGCCTTTAGTTATTATTGGATCATGTAATCTTACTGTCATCAGATTTGTGAAATTCAACCTGTATTTTACATCAAACAGTATTTCAAGGGTACACACTTGTCTGCTTTGTTTACCTCTCTAGCTCCAGGACTCACCACCCTTCAATCTGAGGGATCAGGCCCCTTGGCTCTCATTGTTTGCCACTACCATCAGGCTCTTTGGCCTGTTCTGTCCTCAACTCTTCTTTCATTAAGGACTCCAGGTAAATGTCAACGATAAAAGAGAAATACATACCAGCAGCTTGACAATCCTTTCTACCCACTCTCCACAGTTTTTCCTCCAGCCTAGAAGTGGCCATTAAAAACACTTCCAAGCATGCCGGTAATCGGTGAGGCAAAGAGAATGAGGCAGGAGGATCATGAGTTCAAGGCCAGCCTGGGATACACTTAAGGAGGGTACCAGTGGCTCATGCTTATAATCCTAGCTACTCAGGAGGCAGAGATCAGAAGGATTATGGTTTGAAGCCAGCCCAGGGAAACAGTTTGTGAGACCCTATCTCAAGAAACCCATTACAAAAATGGACTGGTGGAGTGGCTCAAGGTGTAGGCTCTGAGTATGAACCCAGTACCACAAACAAAACAAAATAAAAACCAAAAAACACTTCTAATGTATATTCCTGATAGCCAGTCCTTACTCCAGGACTCCCATGACAAAATCAGGTTAAGACTCTCTGTATCACCCTGTTCTCTGATGACATTCACTTTCCATTAAAATAATTTGATAAATTGTTCCTCAAATATGCTATCTGCACACCGTGCCATTATAGTTATTGTCAAATTCCTTTCTACTAATCTAGGAGGTATGAACAGAACCTATCTTGTTATTGGTTTGATTTGCATCTTCCTACCTTTGTTTCTTAACTTAATGGATAGATTGTGTTCTCAATAAAAAGTAAACCACTGTGGATTCTAAGCAACTCCCAGAGAGTCTTATCATACCACCTACTATGCTTATTTTTCCCAGCAAAAGTCTTTCTTGATATTTGGATTAATTAGTAGTTAAATGTCTTTATAACAGTGGGTAAATTGAAGGTACAAAATCAAATTTTGCCAAAATTGCAAACTGAACTAAAAATCTTCCTCAAGAGACTACTGCTATTTTCCATCACATGGAATGAAAGGACTATTTACCTGAAGTATCCAATAGCTGAAAGACTAATACTTTCATCAAAAGCAGTCTGTGCCTGTGAAGGAAGAGAATAAGATGAAGCAATAAGCATGTCTAGACAGAGAGTTCCTCAAGACTCCAATTTTAATTTTGATATGTGTTAAATAAACACACATCAGTAGGAATAATGAGGAAAAACCAAGATTAATTCATTCCTTTTAGGATCCTCCATCTCCATAAGCATTTGCAGTTCACTGCATGTAGTACCAGCATTTGTTCAATGCATATGATTACAGTAAATGACCACCATGGTATGTTGTACTTATACACTTGACTGTAATGGTCAACTCATGTTCTGCTTGTAAAGAAATCCATTCAGTCATATGAAAAGATTAGCCTAACATGGGCCATTTTAGAGAACAATGATTGGTTGTGTGTTTAACTTTAATATCATGTACCATAGCACTTTCAGTTGAGGGGAATAATTTGCTAAGTTGTACCATTTACAGCAAATGGTCTCCTGACTCTGCAAGTGCACATAATTGATTACTAAACAGAAAAATGAGGGTTAGGCACAGGTCCTCCAATGTAAGAGAGAAAGTAAGAAGTACAACCATTATAGAAGACAATGAACCAAATGGCAGGATTTTGCTCTGGATGGGGGAGGATGGGCTCTTCTGCAGCTTTCTCAGCCAACAACTTTCAGCCTTTCTGGGTTGAAGCAGCACAGGCAGAAACAAGGATGCCCAGAAATTATTGGGAGCTTTCATCAATATGAATTATAGAATGAGTCTTTATGGAATAACAGGAAACTATCTTGGGGAGTGCTGGGACTTGAACCCAGGACCTTTAGCATCCTAAGCACATGCACTACCACTGAACCACCCCACCCCCAGCTCTGGAATTATTACTAACTGGAACTCCCTAAATAATATTGTGCCAGGTTAAAACCTGTGTTTTAACTGCAAAACTGATGTTCTAGAATGTTAGCATGACACATGCTTCCAGATTTTATGGCTATCTGTTCCACACCATCTGGTACTTTATAACCTATTACTTTGAAAAGTTTTCTAATTGGCTTTAGAATGTGTGTCTCCTCTTCCAACTATATGGGAAGAGGAAGTAAATATTTCCATTTCACTGAATGCCTACAACTGGCTGACCACATACCCAGTGGCTTGGTTTCCAATTTATGAATGCCCACATGATTTTTACATTTATAGAATGATTCCAGTATTGTTTTTCTATTTTAGGAACAATGTACTTCAAAGAACAGATTTATAGCTGTTACCTAGAAAGTATCTAGGTTTTATAGGCTGAAAAATTAATTAATTCTAGCTTAAAATAGGAGTTATGACAAAAATACCATCTTCATATGTAAAGGAAGAATTACAGATAAAGAATTATAGATAAAGGATTACAGGTGCAGGAGTTCTGCCAACATATGATGGGAATTCTACAGGTTGAGAACTCAAGGGCCTCTTAGTCATCACTATGCAATGGTGTACCTTCTGAATTGCCCTTTCTGTAAATATTTAATTCACACATCACTTACTCTTCACCCCTCCTTTTTTTTCTAACACAAAACACAGAGAACGAGTGATTCTCACCCAATCCTTCCAAGTTCCTTGAGGATTCTTGTTGATGATGGGTTCAAGGCGTTTTAGAAGAGTTTGACAAGCATCCTAGAGATTATTTTAAATTAAAATTATGATCACAATTTCATGAAAACACCAATTTCAATACAACATGGCATTACATAGGCTTATCTAAGAGAGCCATGGCAACACGGAGAAGATGATGAAAAAGGTTTTGTTTGGGTGCAGGCATGCCTGTGCATGTGTCAGGTGTGAACAGGTCTTAAAGACAGTGGTCTTGGAAGTCATGCTAAGTCAGGGCTTCACAGAAAAACTGTTGAAAAATCACCAATCACTGTTTTCAAACATGGTCAGATTTATTTTGTGGGGAAGTTTTCTTGGGTAGTGTGAAGCCATAGTGAAAAGCAATGAAGCTGGGGTGGAAAGAGACGTCATTATCCAATGGCCCTGGGAAGAGGTGGGAGTCTGACTCCAGGTGATATTCACATAACATGGAAATGGAAAGACACAGAGACACTAGTGAGTAGAATTAAAAGGACCTGCTGACTAGTAAAATGTCAGAAGTGAGAGAGAAAGAGGTGGAATGTGAAGCCCAGGAAAAGTGCTGGGGACTGTACCACTGACTAAACCCAAAACTGGAGAAGCAGATGAGAGATGCATGAAGTCTCACATCTGAGCTCCACCCAAGGATTTGGTCCAGAAGAGATTAATGAGTTCAGTGCCACTGCAATGGGGTTTACCTTTACTGCCAACCCATTAAGATCTGCCACCACAGACCCTCCAGAGACATTTGTGTTGGGGACGGTTTCTGTGCTTGTCCCACGCAGGTGTACATTCAACAGTGGCATTCTTAATTCACGGCTGGCCACCTGGATTTTTGAGGAGAATTGATTTTCAAACACTTTGATTAGTTGCAGACGCATACATGTGCCCAGATAGTACAGCACGTCTGTGAAGCTCTTGTACACAGGACAGAGACAAGGCTGCGGAAACATGAATTCTTCCAGGTACAAAAAAAAGTTCCCTTTTTTCTAAAAATCCCTATAGCTAGTCTGAACACACTTTCCTTTAATTTGACTTTCTCATACACAAAAGATCAGGAAGAGGAAGTAAGGCCCCAGGCCAAGGCAGGAAGAAATGCTTCCCTCACATTTTTACAATCATACCTCCCTATTCCCACCATTCCTGCCATTCTACCATCATCCTTTGCAAAATTCTAGCAAAGCCAACGCCATTGTGTACTTTTTAAAATTTTCTGCATCTTTTAAATGTTTATGATGTGTAATATCACTAATGAGATTAGCAAAGTAAAAACAGTAGTTTAATATTAACTGAGTCAAAAGGAAACTAGAAAACTAGTGAAGTTTGGCTACAAATATTAAATTTGATTTATACTATTGATTGTTCAGAGCTCTTAATATAAAAGGGCAAGAATTAATGCAATACATCAGAATTTACACAACTTTTTATTGCCTAGCCAAAGGAAAAAAAGACAATTCAGTTTTTAATATATCTAAAAGAAAGCGTCAAAAAATGCAACCTTCTTTAGTAATAAAAACCTTAGACTCTTCTGCCACATTCTTTCCTGGGGTTCAGTTACAAAATTGGCTAGTTAGAAACTCAGTTTCTTCTAATAGTTTAACATCTTAAGGTGGGAGAACCAAAACCTCCTATGCCTTATTTTAGAGCAGAAAATATACATTCATGGCGTCTATCACATGAACATATCTACCAGGAGACACCCAACAGAATTTAGTTATTTACATTCTTACCTGAATCATTTTAGTGTGGACACCCTGCCCCATTTCAATCCCACCATGAGTGACCAGTGCAGAGCCATCTAGATAAATGTGAACCAGGGCGGCAGCCTAAGCAGAAGGGATGAAAACAGACCTTTCTGATTGGTGTTATCACATATTATGCAAATTAAAACATTTTTCTGAGAAAAAATATTTTCCCTTCCATTCTTCCAGCTCCCACTAAAACCATACAAAACTCAAGTAGAGCAAGAGTAAGGCAGGGCAAGTCCTGCCTTGTAATATCCTCACAAGAGGTCACACTATCCCTGGGTGGCTCTGTGACTCTAGCAGGACTGTACTCCTTAAGTTACTTTTCCCTAATGAGGGCACTTGATGCTGGAATCTCCAGGGGACCCCTCTCCCTCTCCCTGCTCCAGGGTATAGCAACATTTTTTGGTTTCCTTTTTCTTGGGGGTGTATATGAGATTGGAGGGGAGAATTGTTGTGTGCACACATATTGCTATAGTTATAGGTGTATCACAGAGAAGCAAAAAAAAAAAAAAAAAAACCAAAAATCTAATCTAAAGACAATGGGCCAGAGAGACATTAAATTTTTTTTGCTGCAAAATGTGCTAAGCCCACCCTAACTGACAGAGCTTTGGAGTTGGAAGGGAAATTGATAATAATGTTAACTTAACTGTGCCATTCTGTTCCCACAAGGAACCAGAAGCAACCTAACTACTAACAGAATCCAAGGCCCTTCTACTCAGAAACACCCAGACTATAGCTGAACATGTTTTACAAGAACGTGCCTTCTTGAACCCTCTTACACTGCTGGTGGGAATGTAAACTCGTACAACCACTCTGGAAAAAAAATTGGAGGCTACTTAAAAAGCTAAACATTGATCTACCATTTGATCCAGCAATACCACTCTTGGGGATATACCCAAAAGACTGTGACACAGGTTACTCCAGAGGCCCGCACACCCATGTTTATTGCAGCACCACTCACAATAGCTAAGTTATGGAAACATCCAAGATGCCCCACTACTGACAAATGGATCAAGAAAATGTGGTGTTTATACACAATGGAATTTTATGCAGCCATGAAGAAGAACGAAATGTTATCATTTGCTGGTAAATGGATGGAATTGGAGAACATCATTCTGAGTGAGGTTAGCCTGACCCAAAAGACCAAAAATCGTATGTTCTCCCTCATATGTGGACATTAGATCAAGGGCAAACACAACAAGGGGATTGGACTTTGATCACATGATAAAGCGAGAGCACACAAGGGAGGGGTGAGGATAGGTAAGACACCCAAAAAACTAGATAGCATTTGTTGCCCTCAACGCAGAGAAACTAAAGCAGATACCTTAAAAGCAACTGAGGCCAATAGGAGAAGGGGACCAGGAACTAGAGAAAAGGTTAGATCAAAAAGAATTAACCTCGAAGGTAACACACATGCACAGGAAAGTAATGTGAATCAACTCCCTGTATAGCTATCCTTATCTCAACTAGCAAAAACCCTTGTTCCTTCCTATTATTGCTTATACTCTCTCTTCAACAAAATTAGAGATAAGGGCAAAATAGTTTCTGCCGGGTATCAAGGGGGTAGTGGGGGAGAGGGAGGGGGCGGGGGGAGAAATGACCCAAACATTGTATGCACATATGAATAAAATAAAAAAAAAAAAGAACGTGCCTTCTTGCAAGTCTGCCTGTGCTAAGCTAGAGTACGGAGACATCCCAGGGCACTGCAGAACACAGAATGGCTACTTCACTCAGAGTCTTCGATGTAAGAGCAGTATCAATGACATATGGTCCTAGAGAAAATGCTCCTTAGTGCTTACACTGTGGACCAGAAAGGCCCTCACAGCAACTTCTGAAACTGCAGCTGTGAAGCACAACCTCATGGATATGATCTGAGTCAGCCAGGAGTCACTAAAGCTGTTAGCTATGTTTCTTGATATCTAAGTTTTTATACAGAATGGAATAATAAGCTAGGATTTGTAAAGGCAGGGTCTTCAGAAAATTCTGGTAACAAGTTAATTTCTACTTAACCTAAAATTTTAGTAAGCTTTAATTTAGTAAGCCTACTTGTAAGCAGCCCTGGTCAGAAGTGAAAGTTGAAGACATTGCAAGTCAATTACCAGATAAACCCAAGAAAAGGACTGTATTCCTAGAGCATTCTCTGCCCACTAGAAAGACCTCACATCCACCTGTGGGCTGAGGACCACACTTGGAGAATTGCTTCTTTCTTGTTATCCAAAGGTTCATATTACCCCAGTGAATGACAACTAGAAACCTCCATCCTTCCAAACATGAAACTTTTGAGAGTGAATATGCTTCCATTTACCTGGTCAGCAGGTATAAAAAAGAAATGTATTGGCAGAACGAGTACCTTTTCTCCGAGGACAAAGGCACATACATTCATTGACCAAGGGAGAATCTCAGAATCCCATATCGTACTACTCATAAGATGCATCAGAGCGTGTTCAAGTGTCCATTGACACACAAGTCCTGGAAACACCATCTTCTGTCCCTGGCCACTTATTCTCAACACAATCAAGATAAGGGGTGGAATCCTTTGCAGAGAGCCCAGAGTTGGTTGCCCTGGGTTGTGCATCAGCTGCCAGGTGATGCCACAGCCATTTCTGGGCTCTGTTCAATGACACATCATTGTCTTCTGACAGGAGCATGTTCTGATGCATCCCATAGAATGCTTCAGAGTGTCTCACTCATAGTAGGCCCTCAAAAAATGTTAGATAAATAAATTTGCAAGAGCATAATGACTGATCTCTTTTTTTAAGCTTACAGCCTCAGAATTTGTCCTCGTTGGCTCTGCTGAGTGTGGGTGGAATCCTTAGTTGGGCTTAGCACATGTGACTGAACTACAATTACAGTGGATAGTATGTGTTCTCCATTGTGTTACCCTGCTGGTGACAGCACTCTGTCTGCAGGTCTAGGGCAGCATTTCTGTTGGAGACTGCTGAGTAATTTGTTCCATGTGGTGCTGCAATCTCCTCAGCCCACTAACAATGTCAAATTTGGTTCATTTAAGTGGCACCACCGGATGGCTCATTGTTAGTGCCACAAAAGATAATTCCATAAAGCTTCATCTATAAAATTGGCATATCTGGTGTTGGAATAGATGGCTCTCCAATGTAAATAGAGGACCTAGGCGAAATCTAAATCTTCACGCAATGACTGCTGGTACTGGTGAGAAGTTAGCTCTAATTCTAAAGATTTCCAAAATGCCAGAACCATTCAACATTTGGGTTCCTGCACCTGTGCCAAGTGATAGAGAAAGTCCCTGGAAACGTGGAGGTTAATGAGATACTGCCTGTGCTCTTCAGTGTTCATAGCCTAGGGATTAAGAATATTTCTGTGAGGTGCATTTGACCCTTCACCTTGTGGTTGAGGACTGCTTCTATCAGGGAGACAGTGTGGAACCTAAGGTCAGGCACACTGAGGTCAAATCTTTGCTTTGCTACTCACTAGTTGGATGACCTTGGGCAAGAGAGGAAATTGCTATGGGGTTCATTTTTCCTTTGCATAAAAAAGAGCAAATCACACTGGAGGGTGAGACCAGGCAAAGCAAGTGGGAGATTACAAACCCCTAGCCCAGAGCCTTCCACAGAGAAAGCACTCAGATATTTTGAGTTTCCTGCAGAATAGTCTTTCAGGATGTGCCTTCCAGGAAGCAGCCTGTGACAGATCTCAAACACCTTGATTCAGCCCTAAGCAAAGCTTTTAAGCACAGAAAGTCCCTGGCAGCAGTAGCACCTCTGTGAATGAATTTGTACTACTGGCCCTTGCCCAGTTTCTTCTCAGCTGAGCTGAAACTACCTCAGTTCCCATCAAAGAGTGATTTGGGGAAGCAGCTTCAGGAGCTGCCCAGATTTGAGTTCTAGCCCTGGCTTGGCTTCTGTCAGCTCTGGGACTTTGGGCAGGTTATTGAAACTCTCTGAGTCTCAGTTTTCTTATCACTAAGATGAGGATACAAATCTTATAGGTTGCCCTGAGAGTAGAATGAAATAAAATCTAATCATTATTTTTATTTACTCTTTGAGAAATTTCTGGTGAGGAAATGGAACTGAGCTGGCCTATGTTGGAGGCCAGACATCAAGTAATGGCAGCCATTCCCTGGAGGCAGCCTGCCATGTTTACCCAGAGTCCCACACTCAGGATTTCCAGAAGAAATTTTGGAAGCTAGCAGTCCCCCACCCCCTTACTTCACACACGAGCCATCTGGGGCCCAGAGAAGTTGTCTCAGCTGCTTATTTCCAGGGCCAGGCATAAGCATCAAGTCTCTAATTTTCCAGCAAGATGTTTCTCTGCAACTGGGCATGCAGGCAGAGGAGCTCTTGTCTCCTCTGGAGTAAAGCTAGCCTGACCATCAACTTTGGTGAAATTTAAAAGCAGACACTGCAATCACGTGACTAATCCAACAGTGGAAAGTTCATCTGGGCAGCTTCCAGGTGGCATTCCTACTTGTGTTTGGAGAACTGACCTGACCGATGGCAACTGAGCCCAGACCAACAGGAAACTTCAGGGGCACCACAGCCAGCCCTTTCTTCTTCCAGTAATTCTCTGCATTGAATTTTTCCACTGTAGCTCTTCTCATGGAGTAGGAAGACTTAGCCATACATTCTCTCCAACACTGGATGAGGCTCTTGGCATTAATCTCTTCTTTGTAGGGTGTTTGATCAATTTCCTTGTACATATTTATTGTTCGAACCTATGGTAGCAAAGGAGATTAAAAGTGAGGGGAAACCCAACAGACATATTCTCATTGATGCACTGTTCTAGTCCAATCCTGCCCATCCTATAAGGTCCAAACCGAGTTCCACCTGGTCCTTTCTGAAGCCTTTCATGAGACACAAAGTTCTCCTCATTCTCCATTCAGAGCCTCTCTCAATTGCCAGCACTTGCTCACAAGTCTCTATGCTGTTCTTATGCAAGTTCAAAGAAGGGAATCCTTCGCTTGTATGCTTGTATTTCCATATGTCTCAACACAGCCCAGGTACATTTTTGACTCTGAATTCTAGTTGCATTTGTGGCTGTCTGTTGAAAGGTATTCAGGCTAAGTGATGTGATTTTTCAGATGCTATGGCAAAATAAAACCACTTACTTTTCAGACAATCTGGAAAGTTTATTTAAATGTAACTGATATTTAGGAAGAAGAAACTTAAAGATTCTAGCTCAAGACGTCTGAAGCACTGAGTAGAATTCTTGTGTTCCCAGAATTGGCAACTAAGATTCCTAGCTGAGGACAAAAGATGCCAAGTAGCTCATATTCTTAGATGAAACTCTCACAGTCGTGGCCAGCCTCCTCCCCAAGCTGACAGAAGCCCTTTCAGACACACCTTCTCCCTGCTCTGCCTCTCTAAATTTCTCAGATTGTTACAAAAGGAAGACTGGAAATGAGTGAGCTGTGCCATTTCAGAAAAGCATGTTCTCAACTTTCCTGGGAGAAAGGGAGTGGTCAGGAAGGGAAGAACAAGTACTCCTACAAGCTCAAGAGACATAAAGAAGGTGGCTTCTGCCTATCATCATAGAGTCTAATGTTGAAGGGAAAAAAATGAATTGAAGCCTGGAGCTTTCCAAGATCTGCTGGGGCCCGGGTCAAAGAGGCGTGGCCACCAAGGGAATGCTGCATGAGGGCCAATTGCATAAAGTGGCAAAGAGGGAACAGCAAGCTTGTTGGAAGAAGTCACATGGGGAGAGGCATCACAACAGGAGGCAAAGGGAAGAAGAGAGGGTGAAGAGCTCATGATGTCTGAACTCCACTCCGGGATCTGGGGGTAGAAGAGGCACCAGGAAGGGGGCCTCTCTTCCTCCCTCTAATGAGTGAAGTTGGATATGAAACTTAAAGAACTGAAATGACAAACTTTTTTTGTCAGCACTGAGGTTTGAACTCAGGGCATCACACTTGCTAGGCAAGCGCTCTGCCACTTGAGCTGCTTGTGTGAACTATTTGCTTTGGCTGGCTTCAAACCACAATCCTCCTGATTTCTGCCTCTTGAGTAGCTAGGATTACAGGCATGAGTCACAAACACCTGGCTGAAATGACAAACTTTATAACAGCTGCCTGAGAGGTTAGGGAAACAAGAAAAGAGGGATTTGACAGAACTTAGTGGTATAGTTATAGCACTGCTGTGGTTTGGATGTGGTTTATTCTCCAAGGATTCATGCATGGGAGGCATGGTTCTCACTCTAGTGGGCTTGAGATGGTGGAACCTTTCAGAGGTGAGGCCTAGTGGGAAGTGGTTAGGTCATTGGTGATGCTGCCCTCTGAAGAGATTAGGGTCGCTCTTGTAGCAACCTGGTTGGTTCCCATTGAAAGTCGGTTATTACAAAAAGGTGGTCCTGACTCCTGAATCTCTCTCTGGCTTCCTGTTTTGCCATGTGATCCCTCTTGCACATGATCCCACAATGACCTGTCTGCCATACAGTCCCAGCAGAGCCAATCAGAAGCCAGTACCATGCTCTTGGAACTCACTGTGAGCTAAACAGATTTATTATCCTTATTTTAATATCCTTATTTTAATGTTGTTTTAACATGAAAATTAATGAATGAATACAACCCCCAACCAATGGAAATTTCTCATTAAAAAGGTACTCACTCCTCAAAATCATCTGTTTCCAGAATTTTTGAGGAATCTGGGTAAGACAAGGATTGTTAAACTCTGGGGTACTAGCTCTGGGTTGACTAGTGGACTGAATGACTTTAAGCAAATCATTTACCCCTTTGTCTCTCAAATTCCTCAACCTGAACGATCCCTATAGGCCCTCCCATGTCAGATAGTGAATATCTTTTACAGTGAGACTAACTTAGTGTTACCTGCTCAGGAGACAAACCACATTTGGCTGCCACTTCTGTGATACAGGACTCGGTGACCAGCCCTGTCTGAGGAAAGCCAAACCCACGAAAAGCAGTGTTGGATGGAAGGTTGGTTTTGCACACCCAGCCCCGGCAGCGCAGGTTGGGAAACTTGTAAGCGTTGTCCATTTTAAGAAGTCCCATTTCTATCACCTGGAGAGATCCAGAATTCATGTTATAAGATTCTCACCCTTCTCTACCCATGTTGCTATCCTCAGATCTCAGACCAAAGTCAGACAGGAGATGGCAGCTCCTTTTTACCTCCCACCAAACATGCTAAAATATCCATGCCTCCAATTGAATGCATGTTGCTATAAAATTATTTTAAAGAACTTGAGCAAATTTTCTTCTGAAATCATTATTTAATTTTTAATGAATAATATAAATAATATATATAATAAATAATATAAATAATAAATAACACCTGGCAATCCTTGCAATGTAGGTCTCTATGCTTCTATAATTAAACATTATTTAACAATTGAACATTTTCTGAATTAAATCATTGTATGTAGTATTCTTTGAAGAATGTGAACTTGCTTTACAACACTTACCAACAACGATTCATCCAGCGAGCTGCCTCCATTAGCGTAATGCTCCATCTCCAGGGCCAAGATTCTGCCATCATTCATGAATCCAACCTGGGGAAGAGAACGGACCTGTAATACTGGTTCTGGGGGACAAGTCTCTCTAAAGTTTGCTTTGTCACTTGGGAACCCTCCACACCATAAAAGGCTTCATGATATTAGATTTGGCAGCCATTTCTTGGCTAAGTAGAAAGCTCAGTGGTTTTAGGAAAGCTGTGAAGCCTCTCTGACTCTCTGTGAAAAGGAAATAACTAAGGCAATACATGGAAAAGTACAAACAACTGTGTTCTACATATAAATTGTTAATATTACTATTATAAATATTATTATCATCTGTCCTTATGCGACTCTCCATCAGAGAACATTATTTTCTCACAGTCTGAATCACAAAGCCCCATAGTAGAGAAGGACCTTTCTGCTTCAAGGTCCTGTGTCACCTCTCCAACACTTACAAAAACAAGGTCATCACTGTCTTCCTTCCAGGTTGATCCCTTCTTCCAATTTCTTTCTTTCTTCTAGAAACCCCAAGTCATGTTTGTGGTTTTATTTTCCATTTTATTTTGCCATGTTTTTCATCAAATCTTATTATATTTTACATGATAAAGGCTCTTGAACTTATCTTTTCTACATCTTACTGTCTTATCTCAGATTCAAATGCTTCTTGCCTCCTGGTCACCCATCCTGCTCATGGTCATCACATTACCCTTCCCAAACACCCACAATCACATAAGCTCAAGTCTAAACTCCCTATTCTGGGCCTCTAGACCACTTTCAGTCTGGAATCACCTAATACAACTGATCTTATTTGCAGTTCACTCCAGTATACTCTGTTCTAACTCTCCCTTACCCCTCCACTATCACACAATCATGTTCACTCTACCTCTGCATTTTTACTCTTACTACTTCCACCATGTTTTCTTTCTGCCTATCCATTTGTGTCTCACCTTCTCTAAGAAGTCTTCCATACATGTTCCAACTTATAGTCATCTCTTCTCTTAGATTTCCTATGTATATGTGTAAGTCTTATTCCCTGCCCTTTTCCCCCTAAAAAAGTAATCTCCTTAGGACAAAGTTCACTCTAATAAATCCTTTTGAACTAAATGCAATTTAAAATTCAGGTTAAGGTGAAACAGATGCATTCATTAACTTCTAAAAAATATGTATTGAGGTACACCTGTTGTGGCAGAGACAATGCCATACATGCAACAAATCTTGTGGTCTTTCATCCTGGGCACATTGGAAGACTATGTTCTTTAGCCACCCTTGCAGAGAGGCAGCAAAGTCATGGCCAAGGATGTCTGGATAGAAGCAAGGTTCAAAATGTACAGGCCTTGATGACTGAAGCACACGTTCTCTGTTCCTTTGTCTGCTGCCCACTGTAGACTATCCTGTGCTTTCTCAAGGTCCCTGAGCAGAGCTATCCAAAAGAATCTTCTGTGATAGTGGCAATGTTTTCTGTCTGCATTGTCAAATATGGTAGCTGCTATTAAGTACTTGAAATATAGCTAATGCAGCTGTGGAACAGAATTTTAATTTTATTTAATTTAGTTATTTTAAATAGCCATATATCCTTATTGGTTATGTATTAGATGAGGTACTACTAGATGAAAAAAAGCTTGAGTCTCTGAATGATTTGTGTGGCAGAGCTGTCCCCTCTCCTACCTGTGAACCATATTGGGCTATTACTTGAATAAGAAATAACAAAATAAACGTTTAAGATTCTGACATTTTTTTATTTGTTAGAGCAGTTGGCCCATTCTGGCAAGTAAAATTATCTTTTAGTTAAAGAATAATTATTTGTGATTATGGAAGCTTTTCTAGGAATTTCCAGGGCACATTTTTATAAGAATACCAAAAAATGAAGAACCCATTTGCAAATAATTATAATTTCACACAACACTATTGTTATGGGAATTGTTCTATTTTTACCTTTTTTACTTGTGAGAATAAGTATGAGATCTACTTTCATAGACTTAGATACTTGCAGGTTTTCCAATTATTTGCTCTGTAATGGACAATGTCAGCTAGTACATTTTCTCAAACTGACAGGTTTGAACAAAGCAGAAAAGCTTCATTGAATAAGCCAGTAATTAAATAGTCAGCACAAGGAATAGAAAGTTAAATAGAAATACCATTTGTTGATTTGCTCCTTGTTATTCCCCATCAGAGGTAGCCAAAAAACTGTCCTCTGCATTTATGGAATGTTCCATTTGCAACATAAGTCTCTCTCCCAACTCATTCTTCTACTCACTTTGTACTTTCCAAGGTAAGGATGGCGGCCTGCAGTTATTAACATGTCTTCTCCTCGTTCCAGAGTGCAGCGGACTGCACGACCATGTCTGAGGAAGAAAGAAAGAAAAAAAAATAAGAGAAGTAAACTCTTACCAAGTAGGAATAACCTGGGGTTATATAGCTCCCAGTGAGAGCTTGGGTAACATCACACCCATCACAGAACACCGGAACTACTCAGCCTCTGCTGACTTCAGGCACACAGAGTGACCTCCCTCCTGTGAGTCAGGGCATTGTGCCTGGCACTCCTTGTTAGAGGACGCTCTTAGGTTCCAGGGCATTGCTATGGGATAGCTCCCTCCTGGCAAATGATGCCAAGGTCACACTTCTTACTGGTTACAAATGGAGGAACACAGGTGGGGTCTGACTGCCAAGTACTCCTGATAGGACAGGTCTCTTTGTTTCTTGTGGTAAAAGAACTGGCCTACATTATTCAGCAAAAAAATTAAGCCTTCTAGGAGTGCCTGCTCCAAACATAATTTCTTTGAGATCCTCAAAGGAAAACAGCAATATAAATAAGTGTAAGCCTAAAAAGCCATATATATATATATATATATGTATATATGTTTCAGATATGGTATATATATATATATATATATGCCTAACAGGTGCTAAGGATAAATAACCCCACTCATTCAGAACTTGTTTCTATTTTCCAGGTATTATAATATTTTTACTGTGGCTTTCCGTCTTTCTAGTAATTGATTCTTATTTTGGTTCTCATAACATATAGCTTAACAATATAATACAAAGAAGTTATAATAAGTTGGCAGCTTGTTTGTATAGTTGGATATTATGTATAATTTTAAATAATCCTGGCCCAGATTCTTCTTCATTAAAAATCTTGGTGTTGAGAGTTGTCAGTGTGCGTTCATCTCATTTTTAGTATGTTTAGAAGAGTCCCTCCACTTACTTGCTAGCAGCGAATGCAGTGATGGCGGCCATGACACCAGTTTTGACCACTTTTCCCCCAAATGCCCCACCAACACGTCTTACATGACACATGACCTTGTTGGCTGGGAGTTTCAAGATTGAGGCAACTATCTCCTGTGAATGAAAACAGTTTTTATTAATCACACCCACAACCTTAGCAAAAGGAAACTGTCTCTGGACAGGATAGGATAAGTACTACACATTTTAATTTCGTAGTATTGGCTGGGAGTGTGCTTCAGTGGCAGAGCATCTGACTAGCATGTGCAGGCCTTGAGTTCAAACCCTAGTATTGCCAAAAAAAATTAACATAAAAAAGAGAGAAAGTTACAGTACTTTTGTAGTATTGTACCTGATGCACAAACCATGTGGCTATTCTACGTAACAGAAAAAGACCAGTAACCCTGCCATGCATCTCCAACTGATCTCACTGATTGGCTGTTGCCAAAACTATTGTTAATATTAAGTACTTCCTCCAATAGCATTAAGATATTTTTGTGCTAGCAATGTTTTTTGTATGTTTGTATGTTTTCCCCATGAACCACACCCAAAGTATCCCTTTCACACTAGTCCCTAAGAATATGTTTCCTGAAGCAGAAAATTTCGTGGCCTCCCAAGCTTCTCCCAGCTTAAGTCTTTCTCCTACCGTCTACTGTCTCCACTAGAAAATGAATTCTCACCTCTTTATTGGGTTACGGTGAAAGTTGACCACCTGGTGTTCCCAGGGTACAGGTCCCACTTTTTTAATGTTTAGAGGTCATTTTGTCTTAGCATGTGATTTTTGTAAAGCAGGAGCCCAAAACAGATGGGCCTAATGTCCCAAAGGGAGTGAAGAGCAAAAACAGGACTGGAATGGAGTTCACCTGACTCTTTTTCAGTGTCCCACTTCTCACCTTCCTCCTCCTTCTCTGATAATAGCCCTGGCTCCTTTGGACCTACTGAATGACACTCCCTCTGCTTTGTTTCTCTGACTTTCAACCTGATGATTAAACCTTAAACCATTCCAGCTCAGGTAGCCATTGTACCAGTCCTTCTTTCTTACATGTACACTGTCTGGGACATGGGACACAGGCAACAAATGCGAATGAATGAGTCACATTTGATCTTGCTGTGAAGTCACCTGCAAATGACCTCTCTTCTACCATCTAGACCAATATTACTTTGACTATAAAGCCAAACTTAAGAATTCTTTTTTGCGGGACTTCCTGGCTGCACTTTTTCTAATACTGCTTCCTAACTGCTGCTTGTGAGTTAGGTACCATAAGCTTTGGAGTGCTGCTCTTCCTGTTTTTTCCTTTGTTTTCTTAACAAAACCAAGAACAGAGAAAAAGAGATCTGCTGATTGCGTAATTGGTTTTGAAGTTACAGATTTACAAAAAAAGGTTCCTACTTTAATAAAATTCTTTTAAAGAAAATTTGAAGGTAATATGGTTATTAATACCCAAATTAATATGACTATTTGTACTCAATATTTCTTCTGTTCATAAAGAAATGATATTTTTACTTGTAATCGCTCTTGGTGTATTTTGCTGGTAGAAATCATTTAGCAATGTCCCCACCACAGTGGCCCATGTTACCTGTATGTATCTAGGAAACTGGGTAGACACATAAACATCCATTTCTTGATCCTCTCCTTTGGGAACAACAAGCATGCTTTGCGTTTCCATATAAAAATGTTCTTGACCTCCCATATGTATTTTACCTGTTATAGGAAAATACTTGGAAGTCAAGGAAGTCATCAGAATGTGTAGTACCTTCCACTGTTATTCCATTAGGCAGAAACTCCCAAGAGCACACTCCTGCTGGGGCAGCAAACCACACAGTGAAGAGTAACAAACAACAATTTTTAGCTTTCAGTATATCTGAAGATTTGAAGGAGAGTTGTGTACGGGAATCTGTTGTGTCTGCCAGTGTGCAAGGTCACAGAGCCCTAGGGAAAGATCTGTGAGCTTCTAGAGTCAAAAATATGACAGCAAGGAGATTTTCAGTTCCAAGACAACATAGAATAGATGTACTTCTCCCTGTTCTTCCTGTTCAGTACATCTAACCACCTAAACATTACATATAAACAAATACAAGAAGGGTGAAAGTTGATTACACAAAATGTAGTCATTTATGTCATACTTTACTACAACCATTTCAAGAGGCTGCAGGGAAAACCATTTGGGTTGTGTATGCCATTCCAAAATGTCTTGCAAACCCAATTAAAAGCTTGAAGAGCCTAACCCTAACTCCAAAATTATATGTTTTGGCTACCAACTGTTGACACTCGCCAGTCAGAACACGCCACTGCAAGTGCAACTGGACTTTCTTTCAACAAAATATATCCTCTTCTTTCTCTAATAAAACCCTAACCTTTTCCTTTGTTTTTCAGACATACTAGAGGATACAAATAAAACCTTTGCTTGGCGATTTCTTCCTATATTTAAAATTTTTTCTTTCAGGTTGACAGAGACTCTGAAAGGTAGTGAGAAGAAAGATTATATATAATCTTGAAGTAAAAGCATAGCAGTAGATTTGCTAAGTTTTGTAGTTGTTATTGTTTGCCTCACATGTCTGTCAGTCTGGGTTCTGAAGAAGCCAGTAGTCCAAAAACATTAATAGGCAAAGACAGAAGAAAAAGGCTCATGAAAACCAAAGTATCAGAAAAAGAGAAGCCTAGAAAGACAAGTATTTTTAGAAAATAAGAACTCCATCCTAACCAGACACTGCAGAAAAACTACAGCCCCACCCCTACCTGCAAAGGTAGAGTGGGGAGTCAAGACTCTACCCTCATCAGGCTGTAATGAGGCATCCCAATCCCTCTTCAAGGGGCTGTGTCACTGGATTCCAGTGGGGAATCTGACATCTTCCCTCTACCTGGTAGTAACAAGGCATCTCTTCCTACCACCCCACCAGCAAGAGTCAAGTTAAATATAATGGAAGATTTAAATAAATTCAGATTATTAAAACATAGTATCCACAATGTCTGATACTACAAAAAGTCACTAATCATTTCAAGAACCAGGAACATTTCAACTTCGGTGAGAAAAGACAACCATTAAATACCAACACTGAGATGGCACAGATGCTGGGATTGTCTGACAAGGATGTTAAAACAACCATCATAAAAATGATTCAATGAGCAATAATCAAAATATAGATAGTCTTAGCAAAGAAACAGAAGGTATAAAACTATCAAATGGAAATTTTACAACTGAGAAATACAACAACCAAAACTGTAAAACATCAAGGGATGGGCTCACCAACAGAATAAAGAGAACAAAGGAAATGATTAGTGAACAAGAATATAAAACAATAGAAATGATCCAATGTGAACAATGGAGAAAATGGACTGGAAAAAGATGAACAGAGCCTCATACACTTATGTGACCAGAATAAAAGATATGACATATGTGTCATTAAAGTCAAGCATTTGAAGAAATAGTGGCTGAATATTTCCTAAACTTGCCAAAAGACACAAACATACAGATTGAAGAAGTGAAGTGATCCCAAATTGGATAAATCCAAAGAAATCCATGCCAAGACATATCATAATGGAACTTCAGAAAATTTAAGACCAAAAAAAAACCCCCAAAACCCAGAAACCTATCTTGAAAGTAGTCAGAGGAAAAAGATACTACCAACTCTGTGGGGAAAAGAACACTTCCAAAGACAGCAGATTTCTCATCAGTAAACATGAAGGCCAGGGGAAATGGTACAAAAATCTTTAACAGAATTCTATATCCAGTGAAAATATCTTCAAGAACAAAAGGGAAGTCATGCCATTCTCAGCTATGAGCATTTATTTTCAACAGACCTACCTTCAAATAATGGCTAAAGGAGATTTTTGAAACACAGGAAATGATTTCAAAAATAAAGGAATCTTGGAACACCAGTAAGAAATAAAGAATAACAGCAAGAATAAATATATAGTTAAATATAAGACTCCTCTCTTGAGTTTTCTAAATTGTGTTTCATGTGGTTCCCAATTATGTAGAGGAAATATTTAAGACAATTATTAATTATCTTATGAAAGTGGGAGAGTAATGCAAAAGAAAGGGAAGTACATTTCTATACTTTACTTGAACTTGCAAAATGTAAATAACAGACTGTGATTTATATAGATTTATATTTATGTATATGCAAGTATATACTAAACAGATTTTTATATAAGTATATATAAACCATACATATTTAAAGTCATATATAGACATTTAGATCTAATATAATTTATGTAAAGAATGAACACAAAATATAACACATCATTATAGTAAATATTGCACAGAATGAACAGATTCCAATTTAGTTATAAAATATAAATGCTAAAATTTTAAGAATTCAGATCTTAACTTTAATTTAAGCTTTTAACAAATTCTGAAAACCCACACTGGCTTGCAGTATTACAGATTCCACCTATCTACTTAGAGTTTATTTTATTAAATATTTGCTCCATTTAAAATATACAGAGCTGAAAAAATAGATAGAACTTGTGCTTAAACCTATGAAGTCAGAAAGGCTTAGTACCCATCCTGTTACATTGCACTGCCCACCCCTGCAAATCTTCAGGCATGGGACCCTCTCAACTCTATAGGTTGGAAACCAATTTGATCAGCTAATCCCTGAGATACAGTTTCATCCCACTATAGGATCAGGAGTAATTCCTCCAGGCACATTTACATTTTATAAGAGGCCCTTAAAGACCAAAAAACCCACACATGAACATGTCTAATCTATACTGTGTCTGACAGGGTAGGTTGTGTTAAAGACAATCTGTTTCAGGGCTCCCTAGGTCTCTTGTGAATCCCACACCAGAGATGCAGGTTGATGTGTGAATGAGTGCCTGTTCTCAAGGAGCAACACCCACTGAGACTAGATGATTTCTAGAAGGCAACGGAGGCCTTAAACTAGACATGCTGAGAAGGCTTCCCCTCTGAGCATTTTTTACAGTTTTACCTTCAAGAATCTGATCAACCATTTTAAATGCTTCATCAACATTTCCATATTCCAGTTTCCGTTCTTGCTCAAAGAAGGACTTGTGTTGTATAGCTTCCTAGAAAGAGAACAGAAAGGTGAGGCAGCCAGGATAACAGATTCAGTCCTATGGCAGTAGCCCCACCCTATGGCCAATAGCTAGAGTCTGGGCAGTATTTCTCCTCTTGTTCTGCAATCCAGGTACCTTCCCCATGGCTGTGGAAGCTGAGCTTAGAAGAGGACTTCAAAACTCCCCAAGGAGCAAATGCAAATGTGCACACTGAGTCCAAAGAAATGGAACATGCTCACAATAGCACCTGGCACCTAGGTGACCCCAGATCAAACTAGTATTTTCCAAGCAGATTGTTCTCTCCAATCAGCAGCCCATTTTAGCACAGGGGTTCAGAGCAAGGCTTAGACCTAGACATAACTATGTTTATTTTCTCCACTTACTTGCTGTTTAACTCTGGGCCTGTTACTTCGCCTCTCTGAGCCTCATCTGTAAAATGGAAGTAACAGCTGTGCACAGGGCCCCAAGGCAGTTGGAAATGAAACGTGTAAGGAACTTACATGGTATAAAGTAAGTGTTAAGCAAATGCTAGCCAAAAACACGAACAATTGGGATCATGGAGGCTCTACCTGATGACCCCACACTTTCCTTTAGGGAGATTAGCACCTTGTTTTTGCAGGGCAGTGGAGCACCAGGGACCACCAGCCCCGGAAGTTAGGGGCCATTACAAGCCCTGTCTGGGTACCACAAATCATGTAAGCACTGGCTTCCCCGGGGTGCCCAGTGAAGGAGTGCCGTGGCACAGCTACAATAACAATAACCTAGGTTGCTGTAATTCATGTGTCCGCTGGCAAATGTGACACGCCAGCTCCTGCCAGCATTATCCAGCACGGATTTTGTTCATCCATGTTCTGCTGGCAGTTGGGGATTCTAATTCTGGATCTCTCTGATCACCAGAACCTACCTAGACCTATCCTGTCTGCACACCTTACAAGAATGCTCTGTTGTGATCCTGCCATTTCCTCCATTGAAAAAGTAGGTTTGTTTGTTTTTACAAATGTGGTACCAATGCTCTTTGATGGAGTGTTTGTTGATTACTTCTGTTACAGTTAGTTGTATGTCCTTGGGTGATTCCATCTTTTAGTTTCCCCACCAGGTAGGGATATTAGATGTTTGGCCCAAAAGGATTGTAAGGAGCATTTAGTGAATTAATGTATGAAACCAACTTGGAACCATGCCAACCACACATGCAGAGCTCTGTATAGGTGCTAGCTTAGATCACATTCTTTGATGACTATGGTTATAGAGAAATTCCAGAGGAATTCTATGTCTTGTTTTTTCACCATGGTTATCAACCTTACCCCTTGATGCAAGAGTTTTGGTAGTTTCCCCATTCAAACTACTAAAAACTCTAAAAAAAAGTACTAGGCAGGCTAAACCTTAGGGTTAATTGCAGATTTTGAATTCCATGCTTTTCTTATTAATTGGAGACTCAGATATCCCAAGTTGAAAAAAGAAGTAACATTTGCAAATTCCATTTTTAAAAGTTTAATCTTTTTTAGCTTCACTTGCTCTTTGCTCTCTGAGCAATGTTAATTTCCTGAACACTTCTTGATCAGGGAAATGGTGACAGACAGTATAGCTCTCTGCTACTGACACTGATTAAATCCACCTGATCCAGGTGACTGACCTTGGAGATCTTATCCTGTGATCAAAATGGAAGGTAACGCTTTTCCACATAAGTACCACAGTTTGGTACTTAATGCTGGTACTCTGTCTTATAAATAGGGATCTGCTGGGTGGAGTGGGAGGAGTCAGGGGGAAAGTGGTGTCTATATGTTTCTTTTGGACTTTTATGTGGCTGGAAGGTAGAAGAGGTAGAAAAGGGAAGGGTAGATATTTAGCCACTGGTATTAAGCAAAGAATTACAAACAAAATTTTGATCAAGTATTATGTAAATAATTTCTTTTTTAAAAAACATTATATTAGCATATATTAGTTGTACAGGGGTTTCATTGTGACTTTCCATATAGAAACTTTTTTTGGCGGTATTGGGGTTTGAACCCAGGACTCAGGGCCCCATGCTTGGTAGGTAGGTGCTCTACCACTTCAGCCATGTTACAGCCCAATAATTTCTTAATAAGAAGCAACTCTAACTCAAAAGCAATATTTGGGGGATGGAATATACAAAGTAAGAAAGAGTAACAGGCAATATATGAATGAAAGGGTATGAGAAGGAAACTGAATTTGAATTTGAAACTAGCCAGGGAAATTTGAGAAGCCTAACCATACTTTAACTCCAACCAAACTTCTACATTTTTGTCTTGACATGATTCTATTTTGATTTTTAAATACTAGTTGGATGTGGTGGTACACACCTATAATCCTAGCACTTGGAAGGCTGAGGCAGGAAAATGGTGAGGTTAGGGCAAACCTAAGCTATATAGAAATATCCTGTCTCAAAAATAAATCACATAAAATAAATGTTAAGGGAATTTCCTGAAACAAACACTATATTCCTAGGCATAAAGAGGCATAACAGGAAACACACCCAAGGCCAAGTTCTCCTGATAACACTGATCTTGACCAAGTCAATTCCTCATTTTCTGCCTCAGGCAATGCTAATCACCTAGTATACTTATTCATTATGGTGTGAAGATAATATTGCGTTCCCAGGGAACATGCAGTCTGTACTATTGAATCCAATCTACTCATATGGTTTCATTCCTCTATTGCTCAGTAAATCATCAGAACCAATGGAGTACACGTATACAGAGCACCTTATCATTTCATGGAGGTGAGTCTTACAACCTCTACAAATCTCCAACTTCTATCTAAAAATTAGGATAGAAAATGCAACTTCCCAATTTATTTAAGTTGCTAAAACACCAGTAGGCATCATACAATCCATGTTTCTTACTCTTTTAAGATATGCATTAAAGAATCTAAAGACAGTGTCTCCCTATTTGCTTCATAGAATATCTTACCAGTTCCCATTGTCTGCCAGCTGGAGCCTGAGAGGAGGTGAGTCAGAGCTTTAGGGTAGATGCCCTGTGCCGGTCATTGCTGGCTGCCCATCCAGAATTCCTCTGACCTTTCTGGGTTCATGGGTCTCCACACTCCCCTGCACAGCCCATGAGCTTCAAATAAATCTGACTCTTCCCTCAGCTCCAGTGATGACCAAAAGCTACTCCATTCCTCTGGCCAGTCATGAGTTCAGGGTTGGAAATGGCACCTAAGTAGGCTGGCTCTCAGGGTTTATGCTTGGAATGCTGGGACAATACTGTACCTTTTCTCACTGTCTGTGAACAAGGAAGACCGAGGCTCCTGGACGCTGTCTGTGAGCACAGGGGATAAAGCCTGTGCTGTGGACTGCACAGAGAAGAGGCAGAAAGAACCAGGCCCTTAGGAAAATTACTAACACTCACATAGTATAGCACTAAGAGGATCCCTGGGTTTTGGAAGTTACTTTAAGTCATATTTTTCTGTTATACCAGAAGCATTTTAACTGATAAACCACTATTCCTCTGCCTGTGAGTGGGCACCTCCTCAAACTCATTACCTCAATTGTTAAGATCAGTGGCTTCAAGTCTTGGTAGACAATCTTTACTCGGTCAGCGGCTCGTCTTGCCTGAATCTCAGAATCTGCAACCACAGCACAGACCAGATGACCCACACAAAATACCTATGGCACAAAAAGACCTTTGTAGTCAAGGAGAGCAGAGAATAGACAACAGAGCCTCTCTTCTCATTCTTGTTTTCCTCTCTCCCAGCACAGGGCTACTCACACACACACACACACACACACAGAAAGAGAGAGAGAGAGAGAGAGAGACCCCTTCACATCTTCTGTAACTATAGCCACAGTCATCCTGCCAAGCCCAAGGCCCTGGGGCAGGTCATCTTTATCCTGTATCATCAGCAGAGAAGGCTGTTGAGGGGCAAGGTGGATGTTGCCTTGAGAACAGCTGATTCAGGCTCAAGGACAAGCAAAGGGGCTGCTGAGGGATGGCTGGCCTACAAGAGCCAGTCCCATGGCTTGACTCGTGGCTTCCCCCACCATAATCAGGGCCATTCTGAGAGAGGCAAGCTCTGTCTTCACAGACAAGCAGGAGATGATCTCATGTTGCAGCTGATCTCAATCAGAGAGAGAAAGTGGAGTTCTCATGTGTTAACATCACACTGTTGGTGAGCAAGTCTCTGCCCACAAATTGTGTTACAGCTCAGGCTTCTTTTCTTTGAGGGGGGTACAGGGGTTTGAACTCAGGGTCTTACGCTTGCTAAGCAGGAGCTCTACCACTTAAGTTACTCTGCCACACCCCAGGCTTCCTTGGAAGAGGTTGGAGACTTAGCCAAGACGTGACCAAGGGATGATAGCATCCCTTACCAAAGGGCTGCAGTCAACATCATTTCTCCTGCAGGTAGGGTAGGGTACAAGGTAGACAGAATGTTGGATGGGGAAAACTAAGGCTTCAGAAAGGTATAGCTGTCTGGACTGGACAAAGTGACTGTGACGGTTAGGTTCTCTTTCTCAGCTCAGATCAAACTGAATCACTCATTCTGAAACTCCTTTAGATAATTGTATCTTCTCCATAATGAGCACATAGAAGTTTTGTCATCAGAAAAAAATGGTATTGGAGCTGGGGTACAGCTCAGTGGTAAAGCACTTGGCTAGTGTATACAAGGTTCTGGGTTCAATTCCCAATACTGTAAAAAATAATTAGAATTAAAAGGAGAAGTGTGAGGGGGGGAGAAGCAGAGAGAAGGAGAAGAACAGAAGAAAAGAACAATGGTGTTAAAACATTAAATCCAGTGCACACAAAACCAGCATGTCATCTGTTGGGTATGGGTGTGGGTCCCGGGCACCGGGGAAAGAGGAATGAAACGAGTGGTAACATGTTGAAGCTGGGTGATGGGTCTAAGGAGCTCATTGTACTAATCTTCTCTATTTGTGTGCGTGTTTACAATTTCTGCAATGAAAAGATTTCTAAAAGCCATAAAGTGCAATAAATGAATGTTAAAGAGGAATTAAATCAACAGAGGCAATTGTTCGCAATGGTACTGTTCCTGGCGCTCCACAGACCCCTGATTCTGCCCCTCTGACCCAGCATAGTCTACAGAAGCTTATTTCAGAGAGCAGAAGCTACTGTACAGCCAAGGGAGTCTTGCTCCCTAAGCAAAGGCCATAATTCTCATTGTATTTGCTAATGCTACACAGCCCTGCCTTGGGGAAGTTTCAACCCTGAGTTCAGACTTTCTACCATCAAACTTTTATTTTTATCAACTAAATCTGCCAGTGCTAGCCACTGTTTCAAATTACAAAATTCTCAGTGCAGATAAACACTGCCCTGAGAAGTCTGGGTTATACAGAAAACCTCCCAACACTGTCCTTGTGCTGAGCATGGTGGGATACGCCTGTAGTTCCAACACTCTAGAGGCTGAGGCAGGACGATCAGTTCAAGTACAGTCTCAGTACATAAAAAGATCCTGTCTCAAAAATATAAAAAACAAAACAGACAAATACTGTTCTTGCTGTGTTTTCTTATAATTTGAGATTACAGGAGCCAAAGTTAATCATTTGAAACGTTGAACTGGCAACAAACAGCATTGCAACTGTTTGCTCTTCTACACTGCTACATGGCAAGCAGTATGTAGAATATGCAGATGAATCAGACATGGGCTCTCCCTCAAGGAATTATGGTAGGTTGGATAAATACATAAAATGTACAAATAAACAAGCTTAACTTAAGGAGGAAAGTGCCCTGAAGGTCCACTTTGTCTTCTCTGGATTTTAAGCTCTATGAGGGCAGGGCAGAGACCACACAATGTCTTGTTGAGCTATGGTGATCAGATACAATAGATGCTCAAGGAAAAAATTCCCATGAGATCCATGGTCACATGAGTGAATGAGTCAGAATGAGTTCAGAGAGGGACAGAGAAGTGGATTAAGGGATAAGGAAACTTGAACTGGAACTTGAACTTTGGACACACTAGGAGAGGGGCAATAGCAAGGGATTCTCAGAGTAGGGATTTACCCATAAAAGTTATCATGTTCATTTATTCTTCATACTGGTAGCAGTGAACTATGTCACAAATTGAAGACATAAAGCACCAAGATAATTTTTATATAACTAGTCATAATTACTTAAGTAAAAATGAATTATTTGAATTCATTCAATATTTATTAGAATATTATGTTTTATAAGTAAAGAATATTGAAATATTTTATAATATGCCAAATTAAATGCTATCTTTAAGAAAATCTGAAGCTGAGAAGTCATTTTTGAAACAGAAAGCAAAAATGCAGTACCTCATCTGTTGCTAGAAATGTCTCTGTAGCAAAGGAGTTTACATTCTGAAGATGTTCTGAAGTCACGATGTCCACCACACCTGGCAGGCTAAGAGCTTCCGACAGGTCAATGGACCTAGGCGACAACACACATCACGGGGCTCAACAGAGCAGCCACGTAGTCCAAAGAGCATTGAGAATGTGGTCAGTCAGAAAACAAGAGAGAGCAAGATGTGTCAAAGAACTGACTAATAATTCTCTGCCAGACATTTGGGAAAAAATCTGGGGGACAATGAAGTTATTATATGCAGGAAACAATTGTGATAAATTCTGCATTTCCATCTGATTCCACCTCTAGTTGGCACTGGACATCACCAGCAAACAGCTTACCCTCTTCATGCCACACTTCCCATTTGGGTGGCTGAGTCAGATGAAAAGGCAATCATTAATGCCTATTGGATAAAATACTTACACAATCTTAGCATGAGCTCTTGAACTAGTCACAAAAGTCAGAAAAAGTTCCCGATCCACTGCAGGCATGTCGTCACAGTAGGTAGCTTCCCCTGTGGCATGTTTAATACCAGACAGATGCATAATGGGACGGCCAATCGGGTCTTGAGGAAGCTGCCATAGCTGTTCATTCTGTTTAATAAATAACCAACATGCAATTTTTCTATTTCTGTAGAAAAAGTAGGAATAATCGTATTCTGCACATCTCCCATTCGGGGGTAGTTATATAATTAACCCCAAGTCAGAAGACTTTTGAGAATGAACAGCCACCATTCATAGTCACACCAGGATAACAAGCCTGTTACAATAATTCAATAGGTAAATTCCTCACATATTTTGATTATGGATCCCAAACTTCTCTAGTGAGAATTCTATTTGCGTAAGCAAATGAATTTAGATCTTTCTCCCTGATAATATAAAATTACATTCTCTTCTTAATGCTCACAAATTTTACATATTGGAGATTGAGGGCTGAGCAGGGATTTAAATCCGCCCCAACACAGCAATTCTCTTCTCCCTTTCCCTTAGAGAACTGAGATGGTGATCAAAGGAAAAAAAATTAAGAGGGTCCTATCAGGTACATTCTTTCAGATGGTAGGAATTGATTCCTCTGTCAAATTTCTCAAAATGATGGTCTATGGTCCTGTGTTGGGCTCTCAGCTTGCATGACATGTGAATGAAAAATTACCCACATCTTTTTTTTTTTAAGTCTTAAGAATTTGGGGGGATTTTTTCCACCCCAAAAAACAACACTCTAGATAATTCATGCTTGGACACTAAAGAAACACATTCACAGGAATCTTTATAAGGGCTCTGGGAGTTTTCTGTTGCTAACTCTTTTTACTGTAAATAATGAAACCTACCACAGCATCAAAAAAAGTCTTTAAAACTTTGCCTGCCAAAAGATTAAGGAAAAAAATCCAAAATATATCTTTGAGTAGCCAAAAAAAAGTGATTATATATGTGTGTACATACATGCAGATATACATACAGAAGGCAGTCAGTCATAATGAATCTACTAGTGAAATCCACAGGTGAGCAGTTTGCTCTGCGTGTACTCTCCACCTCTCCAGCTCTGCCATCCAATGCCCGCACAGAGACCTGAGCAATGGGTTCACCTCATGGACTAGAACTTCCCAAGCTGTGAGCTGAAATAAACTCCTTTCCCTTTATAAGGTGGTTATCTCAAGTACTTGTTACAGTGATGGAAAACTGACTAGCACACCATATTGAGATGCTTTCAAAGCAAATAAAGTGATGTTGGGGAAAATGCTCCTTGTGAAGGCTGCTAGTTTGCCTTTGCATGGAAAACAAACAAAATTTGCCTATGGGGAAGATATAGGGCATCCAAAATGTTGTCTTGTAATCTATAATAACAACTCTCTTTCAAGAAAATCTTCAGGTTTTGTTTTATTTTTTATCCTTTTACCTTTCAGAGTTGTTGGAGATTGAACCCAGGACCCTGTACATCCTCAGCAAGTGCTCTAGCTCCTCACATTGAGAAGATTTTAGTTTTCCTTAGATGATTTGAATACCCACTAATGTGTTGCTATTCCTTTCTGAAATATATTCCATTACCATGGCAATGTTAGAGTATTTGTAAGTCAAAGACTGTGATTGCCATATTTTATAGAACACCAGGGAAGATGGCAGCTGTTTTTAACTTTCAAAATGTTCACTTCCAATGCAGTTTGGCATTTGTGAACTTTTGAACATATTGAACCTAAAACCTCAAGGGGTATACAGCAACTTGAGTGTTCATTATGACATTCTGTAAGCTTTTAAACTAAATCCAACAACAGATTCAATGAACTAATGTTTTAAAAAATCTCTTCCTATTCTTCACTTAATTAAACTCTTGGTCAAGTTTCGTAATAATAAGTTCAAGGAAAAAAAAGAATCAAATTGTATCCAGTTTATCAAAAGGATGAATGCAGGTGATGTTTTTATGATGTTATGACTAAAAATTTCACTTGAAAGTTATGAGAAATGTAGTTCTCTCTAATAGTCAGGCTTCATTAGGAAGGCTAGAAAATAGCTCTTAGAACTCATGTTTGATTCAAGTATAAAATGTAACTCACAGAAAAACCAGGAGGGGCTTGGGGTAAAGAATCTAGTTAAGTCCCTACTAAACGATCCCCACATTTACAAAAGAAATCAGCAGCTCTCATAAAAATTGTCACTACATTTTCATCAGCTTCCAGGGGTTGTCTTTGGTTCCTCCTCCTCAGCCCAGGGCCTGAGACAATGCGGCTTTGACACCCACAAAGCCAAGGGCAGAAAGTGAGCAGCAAGCTAGCCTGCTCATTCATGGTGATGACACAAGGCCACAGCACAAAACACACAGACTTTAAGATTAAAACAGACATTTTTCTTTAAAATTAACCATGGTTAGATTTGTTTCTATTCATGATTCTTCACTGGTTTTGAAAGGTTTTTTTTTCCCTCCCTTTTTCTTTTTTGTTATGCTGAAAATTTAACCCAGGGCCTGTCCATGGTAGGCAAGTGCTGTACCACTGAGCTATACCCCCAGCCCAGTTTTGAAATTTTAATGAATACTGTTAGCTCAGCAACAGCTCAGACTCTTTGAATTAAAGAAGACAAAGAAAAAAGGACACTTACTTGGTAGTTTAACGGATGCCAGTGATATGTGGAATGAAGATCTTCTAAAGCGCTCTCATACTTGTCTGCCAGGCGAGGATAGTGACCTGGGTCCTGAAAGGAGAAACTTGGTTGATATTTTTAATGACCTAAAAAGTGCCGGGAATGATTTTGGAAGGGAGGCTAGTGAGATTCTGCATTCTAACATTTATTAAGTGCTCACCCTACTCAGAACCCTGGAAGTACAAGCAACTCCTGACCTCAAGGACACGATCCCTGAAAGGTACATATAAGTCACCTGGTATGGAGAGCCACAGGAATGTAGCAGGTCACGGAATTCCACTGTCTCTATATTTCTTGTGATTCTCTTACATGCTTTCCCAAGTTATTTGAGGACTCACACACTAATACAACATGAAGACAGAAGCTAAACGATGAAATAGAAGAGATGAGATTGTTTAAAGCAAGAAAAAGTCAGAGCCAAAGCCCACCATTGTGAATGTGCATCAAATTCTGCTTGGTGCCACCTGGTCAAGTGGACAGAAGGAAGTATGGAGGCTATACCCTGCCACCACCCCACCAAGGATGCCTTTGGGTCCCCAGGAAGAACATTCCTCAGTAGGGCAGTAGGCCACTTAGCTCTTTATATGGTAAGCCCACGTTATTCTCAGATTCATTACACACAGTTTTGACCAAATGCAGTAAAAAGAAAGATAAATAAAAAGAAATTTCAAAATCAAAAGTTTTAAATTCTTGTGTGCACTACACAGCTCAGTTGATGTGAAGAAGCTGTCAGTCAGTCCCATGCTTTTGTCTGTTGTGCTGAACTCCTTGTGTCATCTGCTCAGTGTTTCCCTGCCTTCAATTTTGTGAAAATATGCTTCCCAAAAGTAAACGTGGTTCAAAAAGCAAGGTAAAAAGTATGATAATCCTCTCAAGCCAAAAAGGGCATGCAATGTGCTTAATTGAAATGATAAAGTGAAAATCTGAGATTTGTTGAAAGGAGACATGTCTTTAACAGAAATTGGGCAGCATTATGGGGAAGAAATGAATCAAGCATCCACAGTGTTTGAGATAAAGAGCACGAAATAGGATCTAGATCTTGGCGAGCAATATTAATTTGTCCAACAGTAAGCGTTGTGACAGCCTATGTAAAACCTCCATGTGGTTCAAATTACAGATGTTTAGACACGTTGTACATGTGGTGTAGGTCTGGTTGGCTGATGCAACCACACGGTTAATGAGGTCAATAAGGTTCAAGTTCCTTTTGGGTCTAGCAAATTTATTTACAGAATTTTTTTTCAGTTGTGTTCTCCCTAGCCAACAGTCTTGTAACACTGTCATGAAGGAGACCAGGCAAAGAATACCTGCATTATTTACTATGGTTATGACTACCGCTAGCAATTCTGAAGCTCTAGGGACCATACGGAACCTTTTTCCTACGATGACCCATTTCATCTTGTAGAGGGGCTGCTATCATCATCTTTTGGGTGAGAAATAAGCTGAACCCAGAGAAGAAGGGCAAACATGTGAAGGAAAACCTCAATAAGTGGAAGAAAAGATATCAAAATCATTAGCAAGTTTTATCAACATTATCTAGACAAACAATGAGTCAGGAACAACATAACTGAATGGAGTTAGACAAAATCCTGCACACTTTGTACTCCTTCGCCATTCTTCCCCAAACCCACACCCATCCAGACAGCGTGATGGAAGCCCAGCAAGTCAAGGTGTATCTGATCTGGGACATCTTTCGTTATTCCACAGCTATTCAGCAGGGGCGTGTGCCTCCACTTTGGGTGTCACAATAGCCCTCAGTACTTGGAAAGTTCCATTTACCATCCTCTTCAAGATCTGTGACACTTTCAGGTAGAACTTGAAAAGGAAGCTGATGATGAGGGTCCTCTTGAACTCCACCTTCCCACCAGGGGCGGAGCCTGGCAAGGAGACTTCATCCAAAACCAGCCTGCATGCTGCATCCAGCGTCTCTTCATTCCAGGGCCTGTGAGAGGAAAAGAAAGAGACTCCTAGCCTAGAAGGACTCATCTTGCAGGTTCAGCTAATATGTAAGACAAATCTACAGTTTAATGTAGGAAATAAGAGTACAAGAGTCAGGAACCAGAGTCAGGAACCCAAGTTCAAACCACTCTCAAAGGCTTGGATCTCATCACACTCTCATCTGTCAAAACTCCTTAACTACTTGGGCCAGGCCTGGTGATTCATGCCTGTAACCCCAGCACTCAGGACTGACACAGGAGGCCTGAGAGTTCAAGACCAGCCTGGGTTACATAGTGAGACTCTTGTCTCAAAAACAGTGACTTACACCTGTAATCCTAGCTACACTGGAGGCAGAGATGGGAGGATTGTGGTTTGAGGCCAGTCTAGGCAAAAAAGTTTGCAAGGTCACATCTCAACCAATAAAAGTTGGACATGATGGTGTGTACCTGTTATTCCAGGTACACAGAAGCATAAATGGGAGGATTGCATTCAGGTCAGCTGAGGCATAAATCCAAGACCCTATAATAAAAACAACCAGAGCAAAAAGAGCTGCAGCGTGGCTCAAGTGGTAGAATACCTACCTAACAAGAGCAAACCCCAGGACTGCCAAAACCAAAGGGGGGAAAACACGGAAAAAGCTTAGCCCAGGAGTCACTGCCCCTTCTGTCACTAGGACATTTACTGCATGCCAGGTTCTGCTTTAAGCACTGTGCACGCTTTCACTCGTTTAATCCTAACAGCTGCCCTATGAGAAAGGTGAGATTACCTGTCTTTGTCAAAGACACTGAGGTACCAGGTTAAGGAAGCTGACAGAGACCACGCAGTTAGCAGAGGCTGAGTGGAGATTTGGGCCAGGCGGTCTGGCTAATTAAAGGCTCGAGCTCATGCTTCTAACCACTATGTGCCATTGTTTACCTAGTAAATCCTCAAGGTCAGCTGTTAGTATTACCTACAGACAAAAAGTCCAACACGCAAATACATTTAGCAATAACTGTAGAACAAACTCACATGTCATCATCATAGATTATTCCCCACAATAAAGAATGCAAATTTGTGCTATTGAGAGACAAGTATTCTCTCTCTCTCTCTCTCTCTCTCTCTCACACACACACACACACACACACACACACGCACACACACATACTATGTAATCCCCATCTCCATCTCACTAATCATCCCCATCTCACTAAAATCATAGAAATGATCCTAAAATATTAGTAGAATTCTCTGCCACTAAATAGAAAGGTACTATTCAGGCTTGGTGGTACACTCCTGTAATCCAAGCACTTGGGAGGCTAAGGCAGGAAGGTTGTGAGTTTGAGGCCAGCCTGGGCTATATAGTGAGACCTTGCCTGAAAACAAACAAACAAAATGACAACAAAAACTAAAACAAAAATATTAAATATTTTTCTTCTTATTGTTATATCTCACCAGAGAACAGGCTGTTCTGATACTTGGAGTCCTAGACATGGTGCCTTACCTGCCGATGAGCTTCTGGCAGGAATTCTTGGCACAGATGATGGTCGGACCAACCCCTCCATACGAGATGGATAGCTCTCTAATGACACCGTCCCCTTTGCCAAAAAACACTCTCATTCCTGAATTGACTATCGCTAGTGCATTCTGTTGCCGCTGTGCTTGTCGGAAGGCTGACACAAATTCCCACTGAAAGAAAAAGGTAAGTGGCACATGTAGAAAGCCACCAAGTGACAACTATGCATGTAGAAATGTGTGTGTGGCCCTTGTCACATCCTCCCTCATGGCTGCATTGTGTGCCCCAATTCACGTGTTGAGGTCTTAGTCCCCCAGGACTTCAGTATTTGGGTGTAAGGTCATCAGGCCATAACCCAAGACAGAAATTTGGACACGGACAGGAAAGAGGGAAGACCACCGGAAGGCAGCAGAAAAAGATGGCCATTTACAAGCCAAGGTCAGAGTTCTCAGAAGAAACCAACCCTGCTGACACCCTGACATCAGACTTCCAGCCTTTGGAATATCTAGGAAATATATCTGCAATGTTTGAGCCAGTAGTCTGTGGTTCTTTTTACTTTTCTTTTTTTGTGGGACTGGGGGATTAAACTCAGGGCCTTGTACTTGTTAAGCAGGTGCTTTACTACTTGAACCACTCTGCCAGCCCTTTTTGCATTGGTTATTTCTGAGATAGAGTCTTGCTTTATGCCCAGGTCTGCCTGGTCCACCACTGTCCTATTTGTGCTTCCCCAAGTAGCAGGGATGACAGGTATATGCTACTGCACACAGTCATTGAATGAGATGGGGTCTTACAAACTTTTTGCCCTGGCTCTCCTCCTGATCTCTGCCTCCTAAATAGCCAGGCTTACAGGTATGAGCCACTGTGCCTGGCCTAGTCTGTGGTTTTTGTTATGGCAGTCCCAGTACTAATACGTCCTCTGAGTCAGGCTTGCTTCTTCACGGTTTTATAGAGGAAGAATCTGTGACTCAGTAATCAGTTCAGGACTTGAAAAAACCAGAACTCTAACCTGGGTCTATCTGACTCTAAAGCCCTTGCTTTTTCCCACTAAGTTCTATTGCAAATGTATTTTTTTTAGCCCCTTTCAAACCTCAAGATGGAGATGGAGGTATATTCTTTATGTCTCATTTAGGGGGAAAGCCTTATGGGACAAAGAGTTTAAAACAATTTGTTAGAAAATAACTTTAGAGTTTGGGGTAAGGGAAGAGGGAGCGAGGTCTCCTGGCTCTGGGAATGACAGGGGAGTGCATATCAAGAGTGAGAGGCAATTATGCATGTGACTTCTTAAGCTAGTGACCTCATACCACCTGCTGGCATAAACACTCAACACTCTTTCTGACCCCACCTACGCTAGGATAAGGAGCTGTAGGCTCACAGGTCAACCCAAGAAACTGAAAGGAACTTCTCACCTTCCTGGAGTGGGGAATGTTCACGGAGACCAAGATTTCCTGGGGATTCAGATCCGCACCGGGCACTTGCTGAGAAACTGCTCGTTTAGAGGGATCTGTCGTTCTCCTTCTATGGAAAGAATTAACACTTTCCCTGAAATCTTTGGTCTGTTAGACAAATTTCCATACTGGGGAAATAATTCCACCAAATACCTGAGGACACTGGTAGTTTAGGGCAAATACACGCTCTTTCTGTTCTTAGGAATCTCTTTCCCTCTCCTGGCATCTTGCAATGTTTCTTCCAGACTACACCCCACCTTTTTTTTTTTTTTTAAATCTTCTTTGCTGGCTTGTAGACAAAGATACCTAGCAAAGTAGCCCAAAGTCTCAGGTAGAATGGGACCTTAGCAGACCTCTTCCTAAACAGCACAATTCACTTAGAGCTTTGCTAGGAGGGAGTAGATATTAATACTCTTTTTGATATCTGATCAAGTCAATCAATAAACACTAGTTTATAACCAAGAACCCTACTGGATATGGTAGTGAATAAAAAAAAAAATCCCCTTCGATGAGTTTGATTGAAGTGTTATATTAGTTGTTTACACCCTTTTCCAGAAACTAAAGAACTTCAGTTCTTTAATCAATATGCTGAGGGGGAAAAACAGACTAAAGGATGATCTGGGGATGAAAGCTAAGAATTTTCCATGTTTGTTTTCTGATCACAAAACTTTTTTCTCATAGTGACTTTTTATAAAGAGATATTATTTAGGCTGAGATTTAAATCTTCTTCCTTCTGATTGTTTAGTAGTTCAGATGACAAGAGGGGCAGGTATTAACAAGGCAGGTGATAGAAAGCTAACTCATATTATTTTTAACTGAAAACCTACCAGATTTCCAGAGGACTAAGTAGAACTTCCTAATAATTGTTGGACAGGTTGGGATAAGAGAAATAAAATTCCTGGACTGAGTTTTGCAAAAACAAAAAGCAAGGAAATAAATTTGGAATGAGCCCAGCCATTCTTTCACTGCTGAAAGATGTGTAGGCATCGACAAGGACAAATTAAGTAAGAGACTGAAGAATGATATGAGTGCCACACTCCTGTACCACACAGGGAATGTCTCAGTGAAGGGTCCAAAAGGTTCCATGGTTATGTTCTTCCCAATTATCAGACCACACCTGGACATTAACCAGCACACGTGTATTCAATGTAAGGTGACCTGCACAGACATACCTAGCGCAAGATCTCAAAATGACACAGACAACGAGATTGGTAGTGTGTGCAATTAAGACAGACTCACCAGCTTTTAGACTCCAGAAAAGCAGAGAGAATTATTGATATTCTAGAGAATAGTCATTGTCAAAACTGGACTTCTTTCCTCCCCAAACAGAAAACCAGGCTTAATAATCCCTAAGAAGGAGCTGTCACTTACCTTTTGATATCAAGTTGAGGGTGCAATTACCCACAGCCAGGAGGGGATTCAGATCTGAATCTAGATGCCTGCTCACGATGTGGCCCCCTAAAGACTTTTTAAAATAATGAGCTATGTTCACTTCTGTTATGTAATTATAAAACACAAGTGCTAAAATAAGGATTAGGCAAAGCTTCGGAGAACTATTTCTTTTGTCTGTTCCAAAAGAACAAAATATAAGTCACCAGGGACAATCCCTCAATGGCTGCACACAGAGTTTACTGTGTCAAAACATACGGCCATGCTCCTGATCTGTTGTCCAGCCAGCGTCCTCAGGTGCTTCAGGAGAGCGCAGTATGTCTGTGTCTTCTCGTCTGGAAGCTTCTGGACCACCTCAGCCAGGATGTCCTTCACCTGGGCCAGGCTGAGGCCAGCACCCAGGGTGAGCCCTGAAATAAATAATGCCATGTGACAGCTGCTGGCCTGAAAATGTCCTTTAGATCAAAGCTACAAACGTGGGATCTTTATACTGGACACGTGCTGTCCTGCTTATTGGAGGTGGTGGTGGCAGTGCTGGTAGCATTGATGGAGTGGTGGAGATGAGGTAGTCGTAGAGATGGGGTAATGGTGGTGACAGGGGTGTGGGTTGATGATGAGGTAGTAGAGGTGACAGTGAGGGTAATTCCTGATGGTAGTAATAATGGAGTAATTGGTGAAGGTGACAAAGATTAAATTCTTTGAACACTCACTTTATCAAGCATTATGCTAAATTCTTTAGGTAATCTCCATAAATTTGAACAAAACTATGAGTTATTAATCACCCCACTTCATGGATGACAAAAAATGAAATTAAGTTAAATAGCTTCCCTAAGATCTTACAGCTAATACATGTCACAGTCAAGAATTACATTTTAGAAGCTGGATTCCAAATCTGTATTGTTCTGGCCATAGAATCAATTTCCTTTACAGGAATGGAAAAGCCAGGCTGTGAGTTGCTTAATTCATCAACTTGCACTGCTTGCTCCCTACTTCTGGAGAGGTGTTCTGTTCATCTTTATCCTCTGCCCAGCACTTAATACAGTACCTTCATTGAATAGCTGTTACCTTTCTCTGATATCTCAGACAAACTTTTTCAGTAAAAAAAATCTGACTATTCAGACAATTGATAGCTATTATAACTTTAGAGAATTCTTCCTGGGACTCCCCTGTAGAATGTTATCATTCTTATAGAAGAGAATCTCTGTGCATATTTTAACTAGGAATAATTCTCTTTCTGCTCGTCTACTGGACAAAGTAACCAAATCGATTAATGCATTTAAACTAAGAAAACAAGGACCTTAAGAACTCACCAGTACGTGTATGATTTACAACATTCAGTTCTTCAATTCTATCAGGAGAAATTACAACTGGGTGGAAAACACCTTTAAATTTCACTTCAGGCCCTAAAGGATTCGGAGTAAAATAAGATTAGGATAAACAGGAACTAACTGCCCTTTTAACTTGGAAATTATCATTAAACTGATGTCTTTAAACATAAAAAGAATTAGGTATCTTTCTATTGGTCTATTTACTGCCAAACCATATCAGAGAGCATGGCTAGATGGACTTTTCTTAAACTAGGAGGACTCTTTGGAATTGCCCTGAAACTTGGGCAATATGGCAGACTCAAAATTCTCTTGGGAAAGATTCTGGGGACTCCTCAAAGAGGTGGGCAAACTGAGCCTACACTACTACTCGTAGCTGCAGTTTCTGTAAAACACTTTATACCCATCAAGAAAGGAAAACAAGAGCAGTTTCAAAATGAGGCCCAGAGAGGTCCCCAAATGGAAAGACAGGACAAGCTGGCACTGGCACTGCTGCTGCTGCTAGCTTGCCATGGCGCAAGCCTCTTGGGTACAGATTTGTGCACTACTCCAGTAAAGGGTACAAGAGATTTATGTATTTAAGTGACAGAAATTTCTTGAGCAACACTGAAGAAGTCAAGTTCAAAGAATTACAAACACTATTTCAGACTGCTTTTTCTGAGAACACACATATAGGAAGCAGTCTTGCCTTGAGCCCTTTCCCTCATTTCCTCATAAGAAGTCTCTGGGGTCCCACTTACCCACAGAGGTGTTCCCCATGACAACAGGGGCCTGGGGATGTTTGAATTTAGCTTCAAGAAGTTCCTTCAGGGTCACAGGGGAAATCCATGTCACTCTCTCACCACCAAAAACCCTGGTCTTTTGTGGTTGTTTCTCAGCCATTATCTATTGAAAAAGCAACAGAGATTTGAGATATCACGTGACAAAATTTCCATCTGTTTCTACTCTATTTTTGCAAGAACAGAGAAAGGATACCCAGATCTTCTAAAAAAAACAAAGTAAGTGACCTAAAAGTAGAGCTTCGCAGGAATTAGATTTCAGGATAAAGTAGACAGTTTTACTCCTGAAGGTTGCTCCCTATAACTTCCCTTTGTGCTCTTCTATCTCACAGGAATTCATTTTAATGTTTCAAAATAGATTAACATGCTCAGTTTTGTCCAATCATCCTAAGGAAAAACAAATTTCAGCAAAATCAGGAGTAGAAACCATGTGAACATCTACATGTGTTGGGCCTTGGTGACTTTTTATAGATACCACCAGCTGTTTCCCCCAGCCCACAGACCCCTGAGGGTGGTTCCACCCTTCTCCTCCGCCTCTCCCTTGGTCCACATTCTTTAGATCTTGAAATAAGGATAACAGATAAAATCTTGAGAATTGATGATCAGCTTTTGAAAGAATCTAGAGCAAGTCTATTTCCAGACACTTCACTAGGAATACATCCAGGATGAGGTCAACATTGTCTTCCTCACCATTAGCTCAGGAGGAAATATCAGCTCCTGGGTTGGATCCACTGGCAGAAACTCCTCTTCTGAAAAGAGTTCTGGACTTGTCTTAAAGAGAGAATGTACCAGAAGTTACAGTAGCTCCCCCACCCTGATTCTCAGGGGATATATTTCAAGACTCCCAGTGCATGCCTGAAACTATGGTTAGTATTGAGCCCTATATACAGTGTTTTTCCCCATTCATTCTTACTCTAAATCTTAGCACCCTCTACATACAATTTTTTTCTTTCCTTATTATGTTGAGAACCTTTAACTTTTCATTTACAGAAAACATTTTGTGGCTACCCACTGGCATACCTGAATTTCTTGTGCTTTGGGGTCATTATTAAGTAAAATAAGGGTTAGCTGAACACAGGCACTGCAGTACTGTGCCAGCAGAGTTGATAACCAAGACGTCCTAAGCGACAAACAGGCAGTTAGCACCAACGGCATAGATACCTTGAACAAAAGGGGGATTCACATCCCAAGTGGGACACTGGGGAACAGTAAGAGGTCATCATGCCACTCAGAACAGCAAGCAAGCTGCAACTTATGAATTAGTTCTGGAATTTGCCATTTCATATTCTCTGACCATGACTGAGAGGAAGTAACTGAAACTGCAGAAAGTGAAACTGTAGATAAGGGGTGATTATTGTACTATTGAAATACACTTTTTAAGCACATCTGGCCTTTTGGTTAAGATCGAATGTAAACTATGTTTTTAACTTTTGATTGACACATAGTAATTGCAAGTATTTGCGGGACACAGTGTGACACTGCAATACGTGTGTGATGATCAGGTCAGGGTAACTGGGATAGTTATTACCTTAGACATTACACATTTCTTTGTATGGAGAACAGTCAAAAGCCTCTCCATTAACTATTTGAAATATTAAATTAATTGTTGTCAACTAGAGTTACCCTACTGTACTATAAAACAATTAGAAATTGTAACTACTACCGCACTGTACCCCATACCTGCTGACCATTCTGTCTCCCCTTCCCCTTTCTAGGCTGATTTTTTTTTTTAGTACAGACATAGAGTGAGAATGGGATAGCAAAATAGCAAACATGTCCATACCAATCAAATTGGTCAATTTGTGCATTTAGTCCTCTGAAGAGTAAGTCAACTGCGGCTCATGTCTTTAGGAAATTTTGTTTTTATGTTTTTGTTTTTTGGCAGCACTGGGGCTTGAACTCAGGACCTTACACTTGCTAGACAGGCACTCTTATCACTTGAGCCACTCCACCAGCCCCTGCCTTAAGAAAGCTTTGTAACATCAAATTTCACTGACCTTGTTTCCTTCCTCACATTCTGGCAATCCATTTCTTTCTTCATCCAAAGAGCAACCCCATTTTCTTTACTTTGACAGCAGCCAGAAGTCTGATGGTTAATGAAACAAATCACTTAGTGGTGATTCTAAGAAGTATTAAATAAACTGAGTGAATACAGCTGAAATATAAAATCAGAATTACTAGATGTCATGAAAGAGAATCATTTGTACTTAAATGTATCCAAACTACTTGAATGAAAAACTGAACTTAAAGCAATTTTGTGTAGCAGTGTTTATTAAGTAAGTTAAACTATATAAAGATCTTATAACTAAGCCTGGCATATAGCAACAAATATCAACCATGGTTATTAATATTAATTAAGATTTAATATTTTAAATACCAATGCTATATTAAAAAGTATTGGTATCATCACTCCATTCTTATCTATATGATTGCTTTCATAGTTTGACTTCCAAAAAGCAATCTTCTTTCATTTCAAGGTTATTTGTTCATCTATTAATTCAACAAATATTGACTAAGTAGTTGCTCAGTGACAGTTTCCCTAATCACACTTGACAACCCCTACTGCTTTGTTTTATTGGGGAAAAATATACTCAGCCATGTGTTCCTTCTACTTACCTTACAGAAAGTCCTGTATGCATCTATTATGGGCCTGTATCCAGTGCAACGGCACAGGTTCCCTGAAGGAGAAAACCCCAAACCTCTATTAATAAAGTGACCTACAAACAGACACAGGCTGCCAAATAAGGACCCCATCCTAGAAGGAAGATCTGTGTGCATTTCAGTCCACCTCATCTACAAAGTCATATTGCACATCAGCCATTTGGGATATTTAGTGAAGAGCCTTGAGGCAGGTTTTAACAGTTCCACTATCTGTAGTGTCTCTCTGCTTGTGACAGGTACTCAAACCACACAATGATTCTAAGACAAAAACTTGTTCCACAGTCACATCCAAGAACTAAGTTTACTGTTAAGAAATTCACTTTATTGAGGTATTATCAACATATAAAAAGCTATAAATATTTAATGTACCCAACTTGATGTGTTCGGAGATAGGAATAAACTGTGAATCCATTTCCACGATTGATGCTGTACACATATGCACACTGCTGAGCTTCCTCATGCTTTTTATTTGTTTATTCATTCATTCATTCATTCATTTAGTGACGAGGATACTGAACAAAAGATCTGCCCTCTTCACAAATGTATAAGTATACAATATAGTATTAATAACTATGGCCACTTAGAACAGTGGGAATCTTGAAGATTAAGAGATTTATGAAATAGATCAAATAATAAATAAAAATAAAAAGGAGAAATGTATCAGTTGAGTGCAATGTGTGGATTTGGTTTGAAGCTTGATTTCAACAAACCAGCTCTCCCACAGTTAGGTGCCATAACTGAATAAATTACTGTTTCTAAACCTCAGTTTCCCCATTGTATAAAGTTATTGTGAGACAATCCTCAGATAGCATTTAATTCAGTGAGTGGCACATGGTAGGAATCCAATTTTAGCTACATCATCATTTAGAAATAAAAGCCTATATAACCTACCACCAAGGGCGTCTGTTAACTGATCCATAGTGGGCTCTGGGTGGTTCCTGAGTAGTGCATACATGGACATCACCATGCCAGGAGTGCAGAAGCCACACTGGGTGCCATGACATTTGGCGATCCTCTCCTGGAAGCACAGAAAAGTTAAAGGTGCAGATCTTGGGTCCCACTCCAGACCTACTGACCACAGCCTGCATTTTACAAGATCCCTGGGAGAGTCTTATGCTCCTTAAAGCTGGGGAAGAGGTTGTTGAGCGCTCCTCATTGCTGGTGCCTCTGACTTGGGCTGCGTTGACTCTTGTGTCTCTTCTTTCTAAGCTTTGCCTAAGGCATGCCTCTAAGTCTTTGGAATCACCAGCGGAATCTGAGGCCCCAGGGCACCCAGATCAAACTACATAGACTCTCTGGAGTGTGAGGACAGGCATCCATCTTTCAAAGATTACTAGGTGGTCTCACTGTAAAACTGAGGTTGTAAATCACAGAGATAAAGTGTCCTTAGGAGAAATGAGGTAAAATACACTCAAGTTGAGAAAAAAAAAAAAGCCTCCAAGTATTTCATGGTTGCCTTCTATCTGCCCACTAATATACTAATGCTCTAGTATGCAGGAATTTATAAAACAGCAACCTTAATCCAGAAAACAATCAAGGAGGAAATACTGCCTTTAATGCCCAGCATTTTTTCTTTGGTTCTAACTTCCAAGGGACAAGTCCTTTTGGATGCTGTCTTCTGGCATCACTGTACAACAGGAGCCCAGTATCAGCAGAGAGCAAGTGCCCTGTGCCCGTGTGTGCTTGAGTTGCACAAGCACGTCCAGGTAAACTCCTCTCCCTCTAGCTAATGACCTTTCATGGAAAGCAAACCATGCACAAAATTCCTTCACATCTAGAGAATCTGAAGGTTGGCTGTTTTCTATGTTGCCCTTTCTTTTCCCTCTTCTACCCATTCGCCTTAATGGCCCTCATCACCTTAGATCAAAACAAGTAGCAATGGCATTTGGGGGACAATGTATGCATACTTTAAGGAGTCTGAGTCTAAGGGATGGTCTCATTGGAAGCAAAAGCTCTAAGGAGATGCTACTTTTGGAGAAAAGTCAGAGTCCATTGCAGTCCCTGTCCTGCCTTCTGCACAAGCCCCAAGCTTAACAAATCTTTTTGCTAGCTGAGATACTCATTCTGCTTTGAAAGTCCTATTGATTTCCACTTTCCAGAAAGAAATGAAAAGAAAGAAAGGCGGAAAGGAAGGAAGGAGGGAAGGAAGGAATGAAAGAAGGAAGGAAGAGTAAGGGAGGGAAGGAGCGAGAGGCAGTGAGGGAGGGAGTGAGGGAGTGAGGAAGGAAGGAAGGAAGAAAGAAAGAAAGAAAGAAAGAAAGAAAGAAAGAAAGAAAGAAAGAAAGAAAGAAAGAAAGAAAGAAAGAAAGAAAGAAAGAAAGAAGGAAGGAAGGTAGGAAGGAAGGAAGGAAGAAAGGAAGGAACGAATGGAGACTGAAGGAGGGATGGAGGGAGAGGGAGTGAGGGAGTGAAGGAGTGAGGAAGGAAGGAAGGAAAGAAGAAAGAGAGAGAGAAAGAAAGAAAGAAAGAAAGAAAGGAAGAAAGAAAGAAAAAGAAAGAAAGTTGTATCCTTTAGTGAATGCACCTGGCTCTCATTTCTTTATGAGTTTGGAAGATACAAGATTGACAGGTCCCACATAATCAGAACATACAAACAAACCTGGTTATTTCAGCATTTTTTTTGAAAAAGGATAAGTCTTCTAGTCCTCCAAAAGCATCTTTCAAGAAGACAGTCACAGAACACACATATCCCAATATCCCAGGTTTCCCTCTCAGCACCAGCAGGGTTTTATCTGTTAGCAGTGACCAAACAGCAAGCCCATACTGCTCTACTCTCTTAGTCTCAAGCACTCATGATGCCATTAACGGTTTTCAAATAACAGAAACCCTATAAAGGAGGAGGCACACCCTCACCTGAATAGGATGAATTCTGGTCTTGGTGCTTCCTATGCCTTCCACAGTGGTGACGGCTGTTCCATATAGAGAACAAATGGGTGTCAGACAGGCATTGGCTGGATAATGCCTTCAGAGTATGAAAGAGAAGCACAAATTACAAATTACATCATGTCCAGTGAGAAAGAGGATCGAGCATTCACTGAGTACCTCCAATAGAGCAGGTTTTGGATGATATCCCAGACTTTGCCTCAATATTTTGTCCTTAGTTCACACTCATTTTACAGAAATAGAGACTAAAAATCAGAGTGAGTTACTTAGGGTCACAGCTACAGGATCAATGACAGGATTAAAATTAGACCTAAGGTGTGATGTGGTCATGCCTATACTCCCAGCCATGTGGGAGGTAGAGATCAGGAAGATCAGCGCTCGAGGCCAGCCCTTGGCAAAAGGCTCAGGGCAGAAAAGTTAGCACGACCATTCAACCAACAAGCCTAGTGTGGTGGTGAATACCTGTCATTCCAGCCCCCAGGCAAAAAACTTAAAACCTATCCAAAAAATAACTAAAGCAAAAATGGCTGAGAACATGGCTCAAGTGGTAGAGCACCTGCCTAGCAAGTGTAAGGCCCTGACTTCAAACCCCTATGTGAAATAAATAAATAAATAAATAAATAAATAAATAAAGACCTTATAATTCTAATTCCAGAATAGTTTCAACCAACTGAATTGTTTTCCTTTTGAATGGCGGGTTATATCCTCTAGCTGCATGTAGCCAGCTACTCACCTAGGGCTTGTTCCATTTTTCATCCCCTACCTAGATGCTGAAGTAAGGATTGGTTGGGCAATAAAGTGAACTTGACATTGTTCTTCAGAAAAGGAAGTGGGGTGTGGGATTCAGAACTTCCCAATCCCCCAAAACAACTGCTGGAAAATTTCAATTCAGAATGACTTCTAAAATGTCCTCATTTTCCAAATGGAACTATAGATTGTCAATGAACATATGAGATAAATGTTTGATCTCAAAAATAATCAGGAGAGATTCAAATTAAGCAATAAGAAATACCATTTTATTAAGGAAAATATTGTAGGGCTGGGGGCGTGGCTCAAGAAGTACAGTGTCTGCCCAGCAAGTGCGAGGCCTGAGTTCAAACTCAAATGCCACAAAAGTGAAGGAAGGAAGGTAGAGAGGGGGTGGGGGGAAGGAAGGAAGGAAAGAAGGAAATTAAAAAAAAATTGTAATAGCTATTATTACCAAAGGTTTGGGAAAGTGAAATTCATGCACTGTTTACAAGAATGTAAATTAAGCTATCCCAGAGACATTTCACTAGAGGACATAAAAAGTTTCACACACCCTTTTACTCTGCAATTCCTTCTCTGTAGATGTATCACAAGAAAACAGTCACAGACATAAACAAATATATCTGTAAAAAGCATCATTGTACTAATGAACATTAAAAATAGTTTAAATGATTACTAATTGGTGACTGTTTTTGGCACTTCAAAATGATAGAACACATACATCCATTAAAATTTTATTATTTTGAAGAGAAATTCATGAAAAATCAAGCAAATACACAGGTTTTTTAAAACAGTATGCACAGTTCCACTAAAAAAGTATGTGCAGGATGCCTCCATATAACAAAGACAAAAGAAATATCGGGAGGCTATTACTCATTGATAAATAAAGGTAAATATTTATGAACACCTACTATGTGCCAGGAAGAGTTCCAGGAACAAGACAGACAGAATCCCTCATCTGGAGTGTAACTCTAGTTGACAGAACATAGATACTACATATGTGTGCAGACAATATGCAAATACATACTTACATAAATTGAGATGGTGGGAGGTGTTACAAATAAATTAATACTGGCAAAGAGAACAGAGTTGTGAGGTGAGGCAGAGCGCAGCTGGTTAGTGAGTGACCAGGGATGGTTGAAAGTGTAATGCTTTTGCTAAAACCTGAATGATTTGAAAGGGATAAACATGAATAGAAGGGGACAACATTCACACTCAGCCCCGGAAGTGGGAATAAACTGCAGATATCTAAAGCCAGCAAGAGGGACAAAAGGAAGACCAGGGAGGGCCGGGCCTCAGGAAGGTGGGAGATGGATCAGCCAAGGCTGGAGGCAGAGAGGCCAGGTAGGTAGTGGCCTGGCTTCCCAGTGAGGAGAGTTTGAAGATTAACTCAAAGGCAGCTGAGCTTACAGTTCAGATGCACAGTAAGCCTACTTATTCATGAACTTTGATCAAGTGCAGTCAAGAAATAATAAATAAGTATCAAAGGAAATTTCAAAAACAAAAATTTTAAATTCCTTCACATGCATTACTCAGTTCATTTGCTGAGTTCTGTGTTATTGTCAGTTGTTTAAAATTGTTAGGTGACCTGCTAGTGTTTTCCTACCCTTAATTTTGTGAAAATTTGCTTTCCAAAAAGGAAATGGTGCCCCAAAAGCAAGGTAAAAGTTAATGTGCTTAATTTAAGTGATAAAATGAAAATTTTAGATTCATTGAAAGTTGGCATTTCTTAGGGAGTAGCTGGGTGGCGTTATGGGAAAATGAATCAAGCATTCACCGCCCAGTACTGAGCTCTGTGTTCTGAGCGAGGGTTGGTACTCCCTCACAAGTGGTCTCCTTACAACTGAATGTCTACAGACATCAAGGGCCTGCTGTAAGGCACTACCATTCTTGCTCTAAAACGAAAACAAGTCATATACCTACAAAATCTTACTTTTAAAAGACTCATCTTATACTGATTACATAAAGAAACTTAAACTGGGCACCGGTGGCTCACGCCTGTAATCCTGGCTACTCAGGGGGCAGAGATCAGGAGGATCACTGTGCAAATCTATCCTGGGCAAATAGTTCATGGCACTCTATTTCAAAAAAACCCTCCACAAAAAAAAAGGACTGGTGGAGTGGCTCAAGGTGAAGGCCCTAAATTCAAACTTAAGTAAACTAAACCCCATTAAGTGACAAGCCATCAATCAAGAGAGAAGACACAGATGTTCTCATCTCTAGGATACACTGTTCCCTTTCTGAAATGGAAGGAAGAGAAGACTGTGCTTTAGGCAGAAATAAACAAATCCCAGATTGACCTGCAACAAACTGTTAACGGTCACATGTGGGTGGATATAAGATTAACACACAAAGCTGGACTGCATTATCCCCAAACTCTACTCCACCAAAGCAGAGAAAAATGGGGGCTGGGAAAGAGCACGCAGAGGAACTCTCCAGGAACTTAGGTTCTTTAACAAAGAAGGTGAGGAGGCATGGAAGAACTGTGAGAAAACACCCAGCCTTCACAGAGTAGAAAGTAGAGTACAGGTGGTATAGGGTCATTGCTACCCTTTACAGAGAAAAGACAAGGCAACATGGCTTCAGAGACCTCTCAAAGTATGGAAGGTTGAGACAGGAAAGCCAACAAAATTCCCAGTGATCTAAAATGCTGGAATCAAGGCTAAAAAGCAGGGAGAGATTTCTCAGAGTTCACTATGGAACACTGGCATGTCTGTAACCTCACCAGAGTGCTGATATTTAGTCATCATCTGAGATCTGTGGAGTGATGGAAAATGGCCTAACATGCATAGTTGGAGAGCAGGAAGGGGAGGAGAAAGAGTGATGCAGATAAATATGTGAGGAGATTATGCCTTAAGATTCCAAAGGTGATAGAAGACATCAACCCACACCTTCAAGAAACTTGGCAAGCCTGAAGGATAAATACCAGACATAAAGTGATGTTAATCAGAATAGGAAGCCATTGGTTTTTAAGTCAGAGAATGATGTGATCTGATTCATACTTGAAACCGATCTCTCTGGCTGACCTATGGAGAAAGCACTGCATGGATGGCATTTTCCTCCACAGCCAGTTCAGCCCAACCTTTCCTCCCCAGACAGCACAGGGAGCCAGGTGGGTTGTCAGCCTTTGACAGGGGATTCATTGACCATATGTTATTGTCATTGATGGTACAATTTTTTCCAACCCATCCTTATTCTTGGGATCATGTCTGTCTTATTCCTTACTGGATTCTCAGTGCTTAGCTCAGTTCCTTTCATATATTAAGTACCATAAAACAAAACTGTAAAAATTTAGCCACAGCTGGACTTTGCTTCAAGCTACCTTATCTTCTTGGTGCTTGGGTTGTATCGTGAGATCATCACTGTACAGGCTCCACAGCCTCCCCCTCCACAGCCATATTTAGTTCCTGTGAGTCGTACTGGAAGAAGCACAGTTAAAGATAGAAACTTTTCCATAACTTTCTGTCAGGACAGACCTCATCTTAGGAAGCAGCATCATAGACTCTTAAGTTCAATATGTGTTTATCAAATGATGAATGTATGTCCAGCTGCTCTCTTAATCTTGTAAATTCTTGATTTTGTTTTGTGTGTTATAACTGTGTCTTCCCATTGAAAGAAACTGGACGTTAGGTTCCAAAATTAAGGTCAAACTAAAACAAAGGGAGGGGTCATATACATGTAAAGGTTTGAGAACTTGCAGGTATGAGTACATTTGTTCTTGTCTGAGTCTTTGATGACATATGAAGTAAGATGTTATAAATAATTTGTGGAACATTTGTGTCATATTTGCCACATGTCTGTACCTTTCAGTGGCAGAAATTGCTAGCTGTGACCCTATATCTATTCTATTAGTCTTTAGCAATAACTACTCCCCAAAAACATTTTTAGCCATACACATGGCTGCCTAAAATTAAAAAAATACATCTTTCTAGCCACCTCTGCCACTAGGTAGGGTCATTAACAATATTCAGACATGAGGGTTGGACCTTATATCTTAGTCATCTTTGTGAGGTGAAAGCTTCATGTGGAGGAGGGTGGAGCAGCAAGACATAAGGAATCTCTCATAACTTGCTTCCCAGAAATATATACTCTTTCTAGCCCTTGTCTACCCCCATCTTAGGCTTCTTTGCAGTGAGTGTGACAGCCACAGAAACGCGCCTGTAGGAGCATATCTCCTTCAACAGATTGCTGACCAAGACACCCAGGGGCTACTTTGAAATCGATCACCCCAGTTTTCATTAGGGCCATGCTTCCTATAGGATTCTCCCTGTCAGAGACTCAGTGTTGTGGAGAGTCATGAAGCCCTTGTTGACCATTCCCAGTATCTGTGATGTACATGCTTTGGTCTAACTAGAAGTCTGGGGCCCTTCCACTGAACCTCCTCTCCCTCTCTCCCAGGTCAGACTTGCTCCCCAAGCCTTCTCTGGCTCCCTCCGATCTCCTTTCACACAGACATTTCAACTACAAAACTTCATGTTTGCGCTGGTAACTCAAGTGGTAGCGTGCCCGCCTAGCAAGCATGAGGTCCTGAGTTCAAATTCCAGTATAACCACCACCACCACAAAACCTCACATTCCATTTTTGGTGTCTGTTTCCTGGAAAACCTAAATCAACAAATTAAGAAAGAAATAAACTTCTGCCTTCCATCTTGTTTACTACTATGTGCGTTTTCTGTCACAGTGAACCAAGGTTGATCAGGAAGACAGTATTTGTTTTTATGTTGAAAAATCTTGGATTACTTTCAGGAAAATATGCATGTGTCTGAAAAGCAGTTATTGATGCTTTGGAGTGTGTACATTTTTGGGAGTTTCACTCTCCTCAGGAGGAAAATGTACAAACTCTAGTTACCAGGTTGTTTTGCATGCAATGTAGTGGGGTCTACCAGCCTCTGAATGCTCACTGGGATTCGTGCATAACACGCTGAGGAAGTCTTCCTAGAGGAACATTTTTCAGGGTTGAGTCTCCATTTTTCTTTTACTTTCATTTCAGGAGATTTTCACTCTTTCTTTTTCTAATGGACACGATGATTAGTCATTGAAGACAGTGCAAATATTGTCACTTGTAATTCTAAAGGATGTCTAATTAATCCCTTTTCACACCCACCACTTTAATTCCCATTGCTAGTTTTTCTATTTTATACCATTGATTTAGTGTTAAAACAGATCAGAAAGGTTTTTCTGATAGCCACCAATTGTGCACTGCCTATAAAACAAAGATGAACATAAAGTTGTTCAAAGATGAGACAGTCTCAGTGTGGCTCTAAAATCTAGGCATCCAAAATATCATCAGAGGAAGGCATTGGAGCTATAAACTCTCTCTCTCTCTCTCTCCTTCCCTCTTCCTTCCATTTCTCTCTCTGTCTCTGTCTCTGTCTCTCTCTCTCTCTCTCTCTCTCACACACACACACACACACACACACACTTGAAGCAAAGAAAAGGATACAAGTCTTCCTCAGATATGGTAACAGCATTGTTTCAGGATCAACATTTTTTTCTATCACCTATATAAGAGAAGAATAAAGTTATGCACACAAAATTGAGAGAGCCAGTGAGATAGTCATATTGTTAGGATTGTCCCAATTTGAGGAAGATGCACATTAATTAACTCTTTTACTCATATTTTCAAGATGATTTCACATGTATGAAACACCTGTGATGCAGAAATTGCCTCTCAACCGTGAAGTGTAATTTTCCAGCTCAATTCTCAAGCCCCCAACCCTGTGGCACTGTCCATGGTCCTAAACTATCACTGCTCTTGTTTCAACTAAGAACACTAGTGCCTCCTGTCCAGCTTCTCCAAGACAGTCTGAAGCAGGTGAGGGAAAAGAAACTGATAAACAGAATTAGGGGGTGATAGGAGAAAAATAGAAACCGAGAAAGAGAGAGGAGCTTTTGGAGTAAAATAGCCTCCAGAATAGAGAAACTGACATAATTAATTAAAAAGACTAGTTTGTTTATCAAATAAACAGTTTCCAGAAAAAGACCACAATCAACCATGGCCTCAGATGAAAGAAACAATTGAGAAGATGAATAAGTGATGGAGAACCCACAGCCAGGCACTCCTAGGCAATTGTGGGGGCAGGGAGCCCAACAGTCCAGCCCAGAGCAACCACATGGAGGGCTGAGGCTAACAGGTCATGACTGGTCTTGGTTCTCACAGTGATCATGTTTTCTCTTTTTTGATTACAAAATTGAGATTTCTTTTACATTCATAGCACAGATAGAAGCATAATTTGTTTCACAAGTTCATAAGCCAAAATCATCTTTTACCATGTTACAGTAATTTTGCCTTCTGGGAAGTACAGTGAAGAGGGGGCTGCCTGCTCACCCTCAATTCTAAGTAGGCACATACTAGGCAAAATAGGGCTGTGCCAATTACTGCAGTCAGATCTGTTCTCTCGAGGAAGGTGCAATACAGAATGGGAGATGTGTGTGTGTGTGTGTGCACATGTTCAGATTCTGTATTATAAGAGAAATGTGGTGTATGTTCCAGGCATCCCCAACTAATTGGCCCTCAATGGAACTCTTTATTTCCCAAACTTACTTCCCTCCTTCTTTTTACCAACCTATTTCACAGTCTCACTGTCTGCTAGGTCATCTGAGTTTTAAAGCCTGAGCTATTTTCAACTTTGTCTTTCTTTCAATCCATTACAATCAATGTCACCAAGTTCTGCCACTTATACTCCCAAAATGATTCTCTAAACACCCTTCACTTCTACTGCCACTGCCAGAATGAGCCCTTCTCACCTTACGCCTGAACAGTTATAACTGCTGCCTAACAGGTCTCCCTGCCTCCACTCCGGGCACCTACAATGCCATCCACTACACCCTTGCTGGAGTGGCCACTCCAGACTCCAGGTCTGACATCTCTTGTATCTGCCTAAGTTCAAAATGGCAACTGGCTGCCAAACAGCCATGTTGGGAATTTTTGAATCACCCAGGTGCTTGTTCAGATGACCTCTGGAATCAGGATTCCTGAGAGAGGGAACCGGAAAATCTGCATCGTTAATGAGCAGGTTGAGTGGGTCTTCTTCTGGGAATTTATACTCAAGAGTCTGGAGAACAAGAAGAAATTCAAACTGCTTGATAATGTGTCTGTGATAAACTGCTCCCATGACTCCCAGCCTGTTGACCCAGGCATCTTGAATTCAGGGCACTTGAGAGACATGGAAAATCCCAGCAGTACGTGGACTTTGAATTTTGTATTTGCATGCAGGGTTCTTCCTCTGTGGAAAGTCCTCTCTCTCCCACTACTTGGCAGGTTGCTGCTTCAATGCTCTGCTCAAAAATTTTCTGCTGAGACTGCTGCTACCTAATATGCCCTTCCCCAGTCCATATTCCAAGTGGCCATCCTCCTCTGCACACTCCTGGCCAATGTCCTCATCTCTCTCCTGGCACATTTTACCCTGCACCACCATTATTTGTGTATATATGAGACTCTCTTGGTCCTGACACCAACCACCTTCTGTTATTCTTTGTTTCAGATGCTGAGCTTGGTGCTAGAGATGTATCATGGAGCATGATGCATGCTAACTAACAAAACGAGTAACTTGAACCTTGGTCTATCCAACTTGCTATGATAACTCCAAGGAGAGAGGAATGATTTCTCACAAACCAGAGCATGTGTACAGAAGAAAGAAAAATCAGAGAAGTTATCAGTGGTAGAAACTGTTGGCTGTCTACCCCAGCATGTGCATTCCTTTTCTTCCTTCCCCTTGGAATGGGGATGAAGTGCTAGAACTCCAACAGTCATCTTAGACCATAAGGCACCACATTAATAGCAACAGAGGGGAAGAGAGAGAGAGAGAGAGAGAGAGAGAGAGAAGGAAGGAAGGAAGGAAGGAAGGAAGGAAGCTGGGCATTGATGGCTCCTGCCTGTAATCTTAGCTACTTGGGAGACTGAGATTGGGAGGATTGCAATTTGAAGCCAATCTGGGCAAACAGTCCACTAGACCCCCTCTTAAAGTCTGGTGGAAAGTGGCACTGGCTTGAACTTCATTTATTTTTCTTGATTTGGTAGATGACATATTTGGGGGTAGGGAAGTAGGAACAGGTATCTAGCAAACATCTTGTCCTGGAAGCTCTCAGAGTGAAAGACAGAGGTCAGAACTAAGACAGTAGTTGAGGAGGTGGGAATAGAGCTTTTCTCATTGACTCTGGACTGGAGAGCAATGCCAGAAGGTCATGGCTGCCCTAGGCAGAAGAATCACAGTCCTTGTGTATAACTATCTGAGTATACCGTGGTGGTCACAAGAGAGGAATCTACCCCTTTTATGTCCTCCAGCCCTTTTACAAGAGTCCAGGTTCCCACTCCTAAAGGCCCTGCCAGATCTAAGACAGAGGAAGAAAGAAGAAAAAGAAAGAAAATAAAGAAGGGAGAGAAAAGGAGGGAAAATACAGCAAATAAGGGAGGGAGAGAAGGACAGGTAAAAGGACTAGACTGAAAGGTAGAAAATGAGGGAATGAAAAGATGAGCCTTGTGGCAAACAGTTAGCAGAGAACACAGCCCACAGCAGCCTCAGAGAAGAGAGGTAGGCCTGAGGGCATGGCCAGTGGCTTGCTTCTGCCTGAGATTCTGGTTGTTTTAAAATGAGTCTGGCCCATTGGTTCTTGCTCCCTCAGCCATGTTTACCGGCTCCACTTTTTGCTAAACCATTACAGTCATCCCAGCAACCCAGAAACCTCTTCTCTCTTCCTGGTAAGTCAAGGACCACCCAGGAAGCACTGACCAATGTCACCAATGGATGGCTCTTTCTGGATCCCTCCACTAACACCAAGCCAGTCATGAGCACTGTTCTTGGTGACCGCTCCCCACTCCAGAGTCTAACACCTGAATGGGTCCTGGTTACTACTAAAGCAGGTGGACTTCTGTTAGGTCCCTGATGTCCACTAGGGCAAGGTGGAAAGTTCCAAGACTATGCAATCTTTAACCAGGCCCCCTGAAGCATAACCGCTTGTAATAATTCCCCTGCTTGCAAAACCGCAACAAGTTCTTCAACTTGCAGTACATGTCGACCCGTTCCATCTGGTGATCACTGACAATCAGGGCCCAACAACCCAGTTGTTCTCTGAAACAGACACCCTCCCCCCTTTGATGGATAGTCCCTCCTATAAAGCCCACAGCCTAATTTACCTGGGTGCTGCACTCTGAACCCTAGAGTAAGCCTGGCAGTCTGGCCCCCAATAAATCTTTCTTTTCTACATGTGGTGTGGTCTCTGTTCAGCAGTTCCTTACATTTTCCAGTTCAGATGTTAGCAATGGTTTCTACCCTGCCAACCACTCTGCATGGAGCTTAATTCTCATCCCAGTTCCACAGGCTCGGTACCACTATCAGCTCCATTTGTGAAGGGGGAAAACAGGCTCAGAGATATTAAACTCCTTGCCTGAGCCCTCAGAGCTGCCATGTGGAGCAGTGGACAGTGCCGGATTCACACCTCGAACTCTAAGCACCACTGCCTCATGGAACAATGTGCTTCCATTCCTCAGTTGAGGTTAGAAAGTAACATCTATGAGATATTTTATTTTTGGGTGCTTCCTCCCTTGAATTCCATGCTAAGTGGGCCATCTATTCTTCTGGGGGCCCCGGTAGAGCAAGTAAGATTTCAATCTCTCAGTTACTTGCTCTCTGACCAAAGTGCATAGGGCTTGCTTCCACAATGGCCTTGGCTCCTGCCTGATGACATCTTTTGGTGACCTAGGAAGATTTTGCAAAGAGCACAGACCAGAAGCCAACCACATTACCTAGAGATCCTAATTGGCTTATAAGATTCTTTTCAAAGACAAGTTTGTAATCCCAAAAGTTATATTTGACTTTAAAATACCTCTTCTCTCTGGTGATTTTTCCTCTCATATTTTTCTAAACAGTCCCTCACTCTTTGTTCTAATTCTATCCACGCGTCTAACCAGGCTTACCAGTGTCAAGCATATACTTACCAAAATGTGGAAGGGAGAAGAAGGGTAGGGAAAGGCTGATATGATTTTTTTTTTAATGGAGTAGTTGTGAAAACTGAGTCAATATCTAGAATGATCTTTACAAATGACCACAGGACGTTTGGCTTATAGATAGTGGGCCCACAGATAAGCACCAGCTTATGTGGTCTTAAAGATCAATGCACCTGGGTGCTGGTGGCTCATGCCTGTAATCGTAGCTACTCAGGAAGCAGAGAGCAGGAGGATGCTGGTTTGAAGACAGCCCAGGCAAATAGTTCGTGAGACCCTATCTCGAAAAAAAAAAAATCACTAAAAAGGGGTGGTGGGGTGACTCAAGGTATAGGCCTGAGTTCAAGCCCCAGTACCTCCCCCTCGCCCCCCCAAAAAAAATCAATGGAGCACGAACTCCATTGAGCTAGCCATTATGTTAAAAAAAAAATCCCTATACTGTTTATTTGGAAGCAGGGGAGGGAGAAAGGGGTTAGACTCAAAACACCTGTTGCCACCTCATTGAGCTAAACCCCTTACTGTCACCCTTAAAACACTATTAATCTGGACCCTGTCCATGTCTCCCGCTCTACTTATCTATTCCCTAAGCACATAAAACCCCTTGTTTCCCAAGACTTTGCACACGGAATTCTTTGCCCCAAATGCTCCTTCTCCAGGTAATTGCTTTGCTCCCACTTCATCCCAGACACTGCTCACATGTCACCCTGCAAGACCTAAATGTCCATCCCATCTCAAGAATCCTGGCCACCTCTGTCCTCTCTTAGCTTTGTGTTAGCCAGTTCCCATCGCTGTCCGATACCACACATTTCCATATTGATAAGCTTACTGGCTGTCTCACCAGCACAGCAGGGACCGTCATTTCTCTAGTCTGTCGCATCCCATAAGCCTGAATGGACCCTTAATAAATAAGGAAATCGAATATTCATGACCCCTCTTTATGAAGTCAGTTTTCCCCTTTCAGCAGAGGACCTGAGGTAATTGAGGTTCATTACCTCAATGACAGAGCTGGAATTGAATCCTTGTTTGTTTAAACAGCAACAGTAGTGTTTTTTGTTTACTGTATTATTCTATTATGCAAAAGAAGCAGACATAATGTCAATCACTTTACCTATTATCCCATTTTACCCTCAGAGAGTCCTGAGGGGAGATTCTAATGAGTGAGAAAAAACAAGCTCATCCAGTGTGGAACCCAGGCAGTAGAAATGGGAAGATTCTTCTGGGAGCTTGTACGATTTGGTGGATCCTCTTTAAGAAAACACAATATAAACACAAATTCAAACTCAAGCCGGGGGCCTCACAACAAGCTCTTCACAAGTGAGGGGCTTCATGCTGAACCTCTAGTAGCTTCCTGAGAGTCCTCCAGGGCCTGTCCTTAGCCAGAAGCAAGGGTCACAGGTGGCTTCAAATGGACTAGCACTGGCACTGCAGAAAACAGGTCTCTTGGCCACTTAACCTTCTCCTTCAGTTTCCCCATTCAAAGCAATGTCAGTTAGTGCTGGGGAACACTGAGAGCAAACAGCTGCGGTAGTCAATGCTCACATCTAAGGGGTGCTTATTGGATGTCCAGGGGTTTTGCTGCCCCTAAGTAACTGACACTGCCTGGAACCATCCCAGAGGTCTGGAGAGCCAGAGGACAAAGGCTACATTCAGCGGAGGGCCCTGTGAGGTCCTTGGGTGTCCCCAGAGCCTGGCTTTAGTAATTTCTGCAGGAACTCTCTGTTACTTTGGAAAGTCACAACTTTTTCATCTGAGAGACTATGGGGGTGGCTTGCTTTGGTTCATCTTTGTGGTCTGTCTCTACTGGAAATTGCTTTCTGCTTATGGAGACAGGCCGAGTTGAGGCTCAGCCACCTGCGTGGGTTGCTCCCAATCTCCTGGGAGAAAATGTTCCCGTTATCAGCTGGAGTTTGGGGGAGGGAAGATTGGGAAGTGCTGGCCTTGGTGGGTGAGAACAAAACTCTTTTCTTCAGGAAAGGGGACATCAGGGAGGGAGAGGCCCAAAGCTCCCAGGACAGACCCTGAAACACTTCCTTTACTCGCCCAGATGCAGAGGTGGGGACGCAGGGGCATCTTAAACCTTGCGGGCTAAAGACCAGGGAGCCGGGCGGGCTTAAGCGGGGAAGCACCTGGGGCGGCCCGGCGGGCGCTCACCTTGCGGCCGTTCACATAGAAGAGCAGGTCGGGGGCCGGGTCCATGGTGGCCACGCGGACGGCGACAGTGGACGGCGACAGTGCGGACGGCGACAGTGCGGGCGCCGAGCGGGTCTCCGGGCGTGGAGAGCGGGTTCTGGGAAAACTGAGCGCGCCGCGGCAGCCCGAGCGCTTTGGCCGAGAGGCGCGGGTCAGTGACCCTGTGTCCCCGCCTGTGGCGCTCAGCGTCTGGCCACGCCCGCCTGCCGCTTAGCAGATACTGTGGGTCTGTGATATCGCTTTGTCCCTCTAATATCACTGCTTTCCAGCTAGAGTTGAAGTCTTCTGCTCCCTCCTTCCCTCCCTCCCTCCATGCCCGTTACAGGTCTGTTTTTGGGTTTTGTTCGTTTTGGGTTTTGGGATTACACCAGGACCTCAAGCATGCTAAGCATACACTCGGCCACCGAGCTACATTCCCAACGGCCCTCGATTCCTTTTCCCCCATTCCCTCTGGTTATTTATTTATTTAGTTGTTTTTGGAGATAGGGTTTCAAGAATTATTTGTCCGTGCTGGCTTCAAACAGTGATCCTCTCAATCTCAGCCTCCCAAATTAGCTAGGATTACACGCGTGAGCCACCAGTGCTTTGCTAGCCCTGGATTCTAAATAGCAAATAATCACATTCATTCCAAGTCTGCAGGAAAGGAGCTTAAGGATAACGAAGGTTTTTACAACTTTATCTTCTGATTTTAGAGATAATTACCCAAGCCAGAGTGGTGGCTCACTGCTATAATCCCAGCAATCAGAATGCTGCAGCAGGAGGATCACAAGTTTGAGGCCAGCATCATCTACAACGAAACAATTATCCCAGTATTTTTTAAATTAAGAGCTACCCTGATATGAAACTTTTTTTAAAAAAGAAGTTTTTATTGCAATAACGAATCACAAAGTTTATCTGGTAAATGCCAACAAAGGCAAAATATCTTGGAAGACTTTTAAAAAATAAAACTTGGAAAATACTTAGAATGTATAAAAATAAAAATCACTCAGGAGCCCACATTTAGAATTTCACACTGTTAACTTTTTGGCTCCCTTTACATTTTTGAAATCTGCATTATAACATTTTCAAAAACCCAGATGAGGCTGACTCATTATTTTCTGGACTTCTTTTCATTTAACACAGAATTTTTCCCTATTATTTCATTTATGTAGATACACAAATTTCACTATGACAATGTCCAGAGTTTGTACATAGAAGGGTACAGCACCGTCCCCTGCTCCTCTCAGACATTTAGCAGTGGGTGGTCAGTGCTTCCATTTTCTCTGATGAGTTTTAACGCCAACCCCAGGCACGTTATTTTACTCCTGAGCGTCAGTAGACACTGTGTCATAAAAAATGTCTTTTGATTTCTTTGGTCAAAAGGTTACTCAATGTATTTGCTTGTGGTTTCTCTTAATCTAGAACAGTCTCCTCATTCACTCCCCTTATTTTTGTCATTATTTTTATTGATTTTTATTTTTATAATGATTGTACACATTTATGGGGTCAAATATGATAATTTGGTTTATGTGTACAATATGTAATGATCAAATCAGGATGATTAGTGTATCTATTACCCTACAATTTTATCATTTCTTTCTGGTGAGTATATCCCCAATCTGCTCTTGTGGTTATTTTGAGGTTATTACACTCACGCTACTGTGCAGAACAGCAGCACTCATTCCTCCAGTGGTATACCTGATGGTCCATCTCTCCCCACATCCTCAGCCTTTAGCAAGCACAATTCTCAACTTCTATGAAATCAACTTTTTAAGAATCCGCGAGTAAGAATGTGATGTTTGTCTTTCTGCCACCTCCTCCAACTTTAGTGCTATGTGCAAGTCAAAGAAGAAACGAGGTCAGTTGTCCAATAGAATAAGCACATTTTGAATGTGACTGATCGCTTCTTCTCGGTGTTGTTTTTCTATCCTAGTTATTTCCTACACACTGGATATTATATCCAAAGCCTTGATTATATTCAGACTCAATTTATTATTTTTTTGTGTGTGTTGGGGGGGCGGAGGAAAGAATATTTCATGGGTATATTGCATCACATCAGGAGGCATGTGATGTCTGGTTATCTCATTCCGAATGATATTAATAGTCTAATATTCCTTCATAGTGAATTTACCAACATCTCACTTAATGGTTTCACATTCATTGTTGAGCACTGAAAGTCACTTTACTGGAGGGTTGCAATTTTCCTAATTCTAGCATTCCTTTTGTATTCATCAGCTAGGATTCTTCTGAACTATCCTTCACTATATGCATCAACTATGCACAAATTAAATTCAGGATAACTTTCTATTACTTTCCCTTAAATTATAAATTTTTGGAGTATTGAGTTAGCATCCTAATAATTTTTAGTGGTATCTAATACTTTTTGCTTTCTCTTTTCCCCTTCTTTTTTGTCTATCAATTTATGATTTTTCTCATAGTTAATGTTTTAATAAATTTCTGTCATCATTCTCAGAGATGCAGTTTGTCCCATCTTAGGGCAATAAAAGTACCTTCAAATTGGAATGTGTCCTTTTGATCTGATTGCATTTGGTTTGATAATTTCATTGCTTTCCAGCACAGTAAAATGTCACAGGCTCACTTATATCCTGTCCCAGACTTGGAATCAATCATTTCTCAAAAGAGCCCTGGTTGCTTAGCAAGCCTGAGGCCCTGAGTTCAATCCCTAGTTCTGCCAATAAATAAACAAATAGATAGATAGATAGATAGATAGATAGATAGATAGATAAACCCTGGTTCCTTTCAATGAGTAGTGATATTTAGAAACCATAATCCAGACGGCAGCAGTGCTTATTGCCAATGAGTGGTCACTGTTTCTAGCATGTTCAGTGGACAGAGCTAGAAAATGTAAAATTACGCAAAGAGCAGTGGGGAGAGCATAAGTTCACACTGATGCTTCTAATTAAAATTCAAGATTGTAAGGGTTTACAAAAAAGTCTTGGATTTTGGCATGGTTTGTCTCCATTAAAACTTATGTTAAGGCAGTAGTTTGGGAAGTGGGGCTCAATGGGAGGTATTTTGGTTAAAGGGTGGAAGCTCTCACGAATGGATTAATACCTTCCTCATGTGAGCTTTCACTTTCTCTAGATTAGTTACTTCAAGGCTACCCCTCCCATTTTATCTCTTCTGCATATGCCTGCTTCTCTTCTACTTTCTGTGGTAAGTTAAAAGAGCACAAGGCCTCACCAGAAGCCAAGCAGATGCTGCTGACAGACTCTTGGACTTCCAACTTCCAGAATCCTGAGCCAAAATAAACCTATTTTCTTTATAAACCACTCAGCCTCAGGTATTCTATTATAGCCACAGAAAACAGACTAAGGCAAATCTGTAATTATACCATTTTTCTTATGTCAATAGTCTTGGTTCTAAAACCTTAACGTAATTGCTTTATCCTCTACCTAGAGCTATTTAAAACCAAGAGCATCAATTTACAGTAACAGTAAACTAGTAAGTAAAAGTTTGATTTCTTGCTATTTTTTCTTTTTCATTCTTCAGAGTACATCCTACTGAACATGTAAATTCAAAAGTTTTTTTTTATCACCATTTATCTGTTTTCTCTGTCACCAGCTTGGATTATTTTTATTTCAGGTTGCTTTCAAATAAACTCACTCACTGATGGCTCTTGTTCTTTTTTTGCTATTACAAACCATGGCATAGTGACATTATTTCAAGAGATTTTTAGTATAGTTCCCTAAAAGTGGATTGCCATGTCCAATGATAAACGCATGTATAATATTGTGGGATATTGTCAATCTCTTCTATAAGCTTATCTCATCTTGAATTCTTCCAGCAATGTGTTAAGAACACCTGTGCTAACAGTGCAAAAGGGTTGGATTATTAGAACCTAGAAACTTAGGAGATCTCTGGAGGATGTAATACCTCAGACACTAGGAAAAGGGCTTTCAAGGGCCAGAACTGAGATCTCTAAGCAGGGGTTGCAGGAGGGTGCTGGTACCTCAGCAACCTAAAGGCACCTCCCTGAAAAGGCAGACCTGTGGCCTCTGGTGAAGGAGCACAGCCCAATTAGTGCTGGTACCTCCAAGAGAACAAGGCTGTTCTAGGAGTGCTGAAACTAATTGTTGCCTATGGTGAAGTACCATTCATTAAGAGGACATTGACATGAAAAGCAAGAAAACAGCAAGGAACGAGTTTAGTCTCTGTTCCCTGTTTTTCCAGCTCCTCTAGTGCCCCCTGCTGACAGGAGTTAAGAAGTCAGGTAGCAAAAAAAAAAATGTGATTGTCAGTCACACATCATACAGCAAAGTAAAGACTTGGGCTTAGAGCTGAGACAACAGCTGGCATGCATTAAGAAGTAGGGCTAATCCTGTGAAAACAAGGTTTCAGTATCAACAAACCTATAAATGTTGTTCATCATATCAAAAGAAAAACAAAAGAAGAAATGTGCTCAACCTAGGAGGAAAACTTTAAAACTCTCCTAGTCTATACGATATAGAGTATGGTACTGGTCATAAAAAGACACAGGCTAGCACAACATGTTAGAAAATCGAGAAATAGCTGTAGCTGTATGTGAAAATTCAGCATAAAAAAGGTGGCACTTTAAATTAGCAATAAATACCATGGATTTTTAAATTAGTGGGAGTCATTTGGAAAATAGTAAAAATTGTATGCATATTTCACACCCTATAATAGAATAAATTCTATATGAATCAAAAATGTAAGAAAAACTTGAAACCCTGGGTACTTTTATAACTTAGAAATAGAAAATTCTTTTACTATGACCAAATTCTACTAGCACTAAAATAAAAGGTTGATAAACCTGACTATATAAAAAGTAATTTTCATGGGAAAGGAAAAAAGAAAAGACAAATCCTATAAAAAAATGAGAAAAATAAAATCTAATACCAGGATGAGTCTAGGAGGTCTAAAGTCTTAAAATAATAGCTTAGAACGGAACAAAGATTGTCAGGGTGTTAAGCTCTTCAGCACAGCATAAACTGTCACTTTAATAAAGCCGCCAGCCTCCATCCAACTAACATTGTTGGGCCAGTC